GCGATCTGCCGATAAACATCATGATGGTAAAATGTTAGAGACAGCCGGTTTCTCTCTTGGCCTGCCGAGGGTTAACTTTTGCAGATAATACGTTTAGCGGAAGTGATGACTCAGTCGAGCCTAGATTCTTCAGTCTGATTGAGGAACTAGGGCTTATGGAAAGTATGAGAACGGTAGCGTGATTGGGGGGACTCAAACTCCATCCCAACTTAGACTAGATTTTCCCAAGAATTCTCGATTGACAGCCTTGCAATCCTTTCTCCCTTAGACAGGATTGGCCATGTTGTTGTCAACTTCCAGAATGTCCGTCAAGTCAATCGAACCAGACCTTTCAATGAGTATCGCTGTGACTTCAGATGACTTAACACCCTGACCCCGGAGCAGATGAATTCAAAAGTTGACCATATATAATAGGACGTGAACGCTTACTGGGGATTCATACTTGAAAAGCTCACTTACTCCATCAGCCGTTCTGTTCCACTCTCAACACCGAAGTTCTCCAAGTCGCCTATAGTAATGAACAATTCCACTCACAAACTAATTATCTTAAAAGACACCATTGAGAAAGCACAATAGGAATGGCACCAAAGGAACCCAAAGATTGCTCAAACAGTCAACTGGAACAAGTATGATGGCACTGAGAGCTGATCCGCAACGGCACCAACTGAGGCTCAGAAAAATGCTAGTTTATGACGCCAGAAGTACGTCCCGCTGTAGTGGTTTATTTCGGCAGTCTAACGACGGAGTCTATCAGCTAGTGGAACGCAACGGTCTGACTAGTAGCGGTATCGAAGCAGTTGAACTTCTGTCTGGCTCGCATTCACAAAACTCCGTCGTCGTTCACCAACTCAGGGGCTTACGGATGTCCCACTGCAGACTCTCGGCAGTTAGGATAGCGGAGCGTGCTGTTACTTACCTAGACATTTCTAAGGTGTTTGATCATGCTATTCAAAGCAAACTTACTGGTAATGTAAAATTAATCAGGACCAGACCACTGCTGACTGTCGGACTGTCCTCTTATTTGCGCAGTAATTTGTTCACAGTCCGAATGAGTTCCTCTTCACCTGGAAAAGCGGAATATCCTGGCGCAGCTCCTTAAGAGCCTCTTCACATAAAAAAAGGAAGGTTCATCCTCATATGAGTAAATTAAAGTCTACATATAGCTCGAATGACCTTAAAAGACAAAAACTTCTCTCCTCCCAGTTTGTTTTACGTGGTATTCCATTGTCCGGTTTCTCCTTGCACTTTCTTTTCTCTTTTCTTTTCAGTATCAGCCTGACGAGAAAGTCCGAAACATTAGTTTTAGTGATCGGAGCCAAATCGCCAAAGTAAATTCTATGCAGTCTACACCTAGGTTCATAACTAGTGGAGTAATACAGGATAGTGTCCTTGGACCTTTGTTGTTCATAACTTATATTAATAGTGTGTGCAAGTGCTTCACTGTGGGGGAAACATTCCTATACGCTGATGACCTTAAGGTTGTTTACTCATGTTACACCCATGAACTAGATAATACGCTATCTACTGCTCGACAAGAATTAGGTGAAGTTGCTAAATGGTGTGACGAGTCCCATCTCAGTTCAACATTGACAAATGTGGTTGGCTTAGCATAGGCAGCGATAACCTAGATGTGTCTCTCGAAGTATGTGGGCAAAAGCTACCTAGACGTTCTTCAGTGCTAGATCTTGGTCTTAGATATTCCAGTGACTTAACATTCTCTGAGCAGACGGCTTGTATCACATCTAAGTCACGTAGACTCCTTGGATGCATCGTCCGTAACTTTTATAGCACTGAATCAAGGGTCCTACTCTACAAAGTGAGCATCCGCCCAATTTTAGAGTACTGCCCGTTTATCTTAAGTGGCCTTCGTATAAGCGACAAAGGAAAAATTGAAGAGTACAACGCCACTTTACACTAAGAACACTAGGAGCTGACTGCAGCCTAGACTACATCTCGTGACGCAACATGCTAGGACTGGAAGAGGAGACTTAGAATGAATCTTATATTTTACTATAAATTACTTCGTAAGCAAGTGCACTCATGTGGCCCGGAAATTAAAATAGTTGTAACATCTACTCACTATTTACGTAATCACAACCTATTAGCGGAAAATGAGTGTTGTAAGACCAAATTGCGAAGAAACTTCTACATCAATAAGTTCTCTCACATCTGGAATAGACTTCCTGAGGAAATACGTACCGCAGGCACATTATCTACCTTTCGTTCCGTACTTAATAAGCTCCTAACAGATGATCAGTCTATCACTCGCCTAGGCACTATCTATACGCTCTGGGCTAATAAAATCATACTAGGACCTCTAAACGCATAGAGTAGGCTATCATAAATCTCAAGTACTTTTTACCTTAATGGACTCGTAAAGGGTGTTTGATTACTAGTCCATCTGGTCGGATTCTGCAGTACAAATACATAACCAGTGTTCCCTTTAAGTTTACCAACAAAAACTGCCTATCTAATAACTCGTGTGAACTTCATATAAGAAAAAAAAGGTTCATTCTCATATGAATAAATTAAAAATTACATAAAGCTAGAACGACTTCAAAAAGACAAGAACTTCTCCCCTCCCAGTTTGTTTTACGTGGTATTCCATTGTCTAGTTTCTCCTTGCACTTTCTTTTCTCTTTTCTTTTCAGTATCAGTCTGACGAGAAAGTCCTAAGCATTAGTTTGATCAAAACGTATCAACTTACTGGAAATCCTACTTCGCACCTAATACTGGAAACTGATGTTAGAGGTATCCAACTGGCTCGCCCGATTTTCCTGTTTCTTGAACAGCTTCACAACCAACTCACCTCCCTACCAGTACCCTAAATGCTACCACATACGAAACCCCAAGCACAATAACTGGTCTCAGATTTCTGGTCCGTGACAAATGCAGCGGAAATCTGGATAAACAATCAAACTCGACAGATCAATTTACCTAAAGGCAACACATCCATAATAATGCTATGTAACAGGTTTCTCTAGTACTTTGTTTTGTATCAATCCATCTAATAGAAGTCAATTAACAGCCAATGTATCTCCTTGACAATGTTGCATACTTTAATGTGAATTCATAGATTAAGTGTATGAAGTTTTACACATGTGCAAAATCCACCACTGTTGAACGACGATTCTTCCATTCTCTAACTACTTGCACCACAACAAATGTTTTCAGTACTATCAATCTGAATTGCCATTGCTGGAAAAGGTTACACTTGAAGAGTGAGAAACGCCTGAACTTAGACATTCACCTGGATTAAATGACTGTATGGATACTTGCTCATTCCTGAAATCATTGAAGTAAGTTACTGTTGGTCAATAAACCTACGAACATAAGAACTGCTGTTAAAATAGACGTTTATCTGACGAAACACTTGGTCTTGTAGATGGGTCAGTCATGTCGACTTCTCACAACGCAAACGCCAAATATTGTGCCGTTTGATGTGAAGAAAGAATTGTGAGCAGAAGTGACCTAAACTCAGAACGATGTGCATGTACTGTAAAGTGATACTTTCCTGCTACTTTCATAACATTCAGACACTTGGTATCATGATAGAGTTTAATGTCCTCCCTCTGCATTATTCAATACTGCTAAAACCTTTTATGTTTCTCTGCAATTATCAGTTTGATGAGGCATGTAAACTGGCTTCTCTCATGTTAACTTCATAGCTTGAGAATAAAGATATTTATTTATTTATTTAATATATATAGACTACTTGCCCGAAAAGGCTTCTTCCGAATCCATCTTCTAGCAGATGACTTGAAGCTGTGGAAATAAATCAAAGTGATAAGACAGTATTTCTCTACAAGAAGACTTGACCCAGTCTCGGAATTAGTCAAGCACTTACTCCCGAAAACTTCAGGGTGTTATAAGTAGAAAACGATTCGCGTCATGTACATAGCCATGAGCGATCGAACTTTCAAGCGTTACTTACGGACGAGGATTTGGGTGTTTTATTCCCTGACGACTTTAGATCACATGCCAACTGTGACAGGGAAATACTTAGTGAGAACTTGGCATTCTTAACCCCTAAGTAAATTCTCGGAAAGTTCGAAAGCAGATGTTTTCACCGGATTTTCAATAGCTTCATATGGTCTCTCCAAGAGTTCAGGACCATTACCTTTCCTCCTTCCCTGCAGAGGGACAAATCACGTTCAGAACGCATTCAGAGGAACTCAGCCAAGTCTGTTTGGGGACCTGGACCCGGATTATAGAAGACTGAGAGGAGGCTTTATAATGGCTCGCAACATTCAAGGTGACCCCGGGCAGCACCCCATCACTTATTTAATCCTAGGTGTAGAATTAGTCTTAGAGGATACGTGCAGAAATTAAGCTTAGAACTCAGCAGATTAGAAACTAGACACAACTTTCATTTCCTGAGAGTGACTGGGTCCTCTAATGCTGTTCTTGCAGAAGTATTCCAGGCTACTTCGTTTGAATCCATGGAACACCGCTTGAAACTTACCTATGATGCGGGTGGGATCTGCTCAGAACTAACTGGAGTTTCCCATTTTAACCACCACGTCCCGCACAGGTTGAAATCCGCAAGAAGTAGTGATCCACAGATTCTGGACGTGGAAGCCAGTTAGGCGAAAGCCCCTTCTATTCCATCAACAAACATTTGAACCGTTTGAAGGAATGCCATGAGTTTGAAACAAGAAGACCTAAGAGTTATCTCAAGTTATGGCTTTAGGATGACTGAAAAGCGCAGTGCTCCTGCAGCAAAGTCGTTCCATATGCGTAAATCACTCCGTTGAGTACTCAAGCGCTTCATTGAAGATAATCTAAGAATTGCATTCGCCACTTATGTATGAGCTCATTTAAAGTCACGTATTCAAACAGATGGTACATGTTTCCAATGAAGCAGGAGTAGGACCCTAAAGAAACACTCTTCACTGTTTGTACTACACAAAATTCTTTGGTTGAAGGACTTGTTTCTTTGCATCCGCTACTTCATAAATAAGACGCGCTCAAGTTGTTTGTTCCCTCATATTTCAAACATGGGGGAGTTTTGTTCGAAGCCAGAAAGTGGGAATTCTCAATCACATTCTGGTGCTCCTCCAGCTGGTACTCAAAATATTCGGTCTAGAGACAATAACGTCCCAAATGCACCTACTGCAACTGCTGGCTTCTTATCAAACATGTGTGACACAGTATCGCGCTTGCAGTCCGAAAGTCACTTACCACCGAACACTCTTCCACCTGGCTCGAGGATGGCTTTAAGCCCTGAACAGACTTATGCCGGTAATACGGGTAGAAATGGGAGGTCCGAAGTCCTTCCAAGCGGAAATCCGACACATCCTTGTAAGTATGAAGAACTTTTGTTCAGTTTGCAGTCTTTGGTCTTTTTAAATAGAACATATTATTTCCTGAGTAAGGTTTGATATTGAGGCAAATTTTCTATTAATACGGTTGGCGAACAGCTACTTGTAAGGCCGTATTATTAGTTTGAGCGTCTTAGCTCTTGCTAAAGCTTCACGGTTTAACAAACTATTTTGACTGAGGTAGTGGAGTCGGCATCAGACACCTTGGTGCTGCATTTCGTACTGCAAGCAGTTCCGTTACAGTTTAGTTACTAAGGCTGTCCGGCCATCAAACATGAGCATGACGACCAGCTTCCAGGTTTTCCTATTACCCGTTGGTGCGGTAAGGGTGTGGGCCACAGAAGAGTACGAGTAAATTCTTGACTGACCACGGAAACGTGGAACGAAGAAGCAGATAACGTGTGCAGACGACTCAGCAAGTCCAGGTAATGTAATTATGTTCAGTAATGTAACCGATGAACGGTAATTATTCACTATAAGAAGACAAGACAGCGTGGAAATCATAACTAGCAAGTGGAAGGGTAAGGTTTTAACGCTGTATTACCAGAATTACTTTTTGACTTGACAAGTTCGACAGTTGGTTACTAAAATCACAGTGAACCGCTGGGCAAAATCAACGTAAAACCTCACGCACAAATGCATTGGTTCAGGTTGTCATATTTAACGGCAGGATACAAAGAACAGGTGGATAAAAAAAATGATATCAAAGTAGGTAAAGTGGTATGGCAATAAATTGAAGATAAAGGTTAGTATGAATACTCATGTTTCAGAAGACGTCAAAGAGTGAGTGCATCTGCGACGTTGTGACCGATTATTAGCCATATATCCAACAGGTCTCAACCACTGATTCCTTTCGTCTGGAGGACAGCAGCCAGACAGTCTACATCTGCACACTGGTACGTGTTCTTAGTCTGGTCACCCTGAACATTCTTCACACCTAATCCAACTTCCCGTAGCATAGCACGTCGAGGTAAGCAATGGCATGTGCAGCACTTATCCAAGCCATCTCAGTCGACTAGGGTTAACATCAGTCGACTTTCCTAGTCCCTTCGCCTGACCTGAACATAATTCACGCGGTGATTCCACCAAAAGCAATCAATGCCACAAAGCATCTGTGGTCAAACCCTGTGACCGCTTCATGTCTTCTTCCTTCAGCGGCCAAATCAGCCGTATAACAACTGAACGAACCGCAATGCAGTATAGTCCTCCTTTGGTAGGTGGTAGCATACCTGTCGAGTTTGCTCCAAAGATGATGCAAGTCGACAAATGCTAAACGGGACTTCCATATCCCTGCTGAGATTTCTTCAGCAACCAGCTCTCTCGAGTTGATGAAACTCACCTAGTAAGTCAAGCGGTCGACAAATTCCACCACTTCACTCCCTATCCTCGAAGTAATAGTTTTAGACCAGTCCTGGTGCGAGACGTCCAACACGGATGTCTGCATTTTTTCAGCGGCTTCGCCTACTAGGACAATATCGTCTGAATAATTCGTCTGCGAGATGACATGCAGGAAGTAGATCGATCCCAATGAAGTCAGACACCTTAGTTATGTTTATTAGTACTTCTTCAACGAAATAATATCATTTTCAGGAGTCGTATTTTGACTTATGGCAGTTCTATGTGTCTGAAGTTTTTAAGAACTAAAGAAAGGATTTATTTTCATTTCAATTCTTATATGATATAACTTCAGCTGGGTATCATACAGGGGTACTGACTCCAGAAGATATGCTAGCTGCAGCACAGATTTGTAGTCACCTTAGTCAGTCTCAACTCAACGCTCTGGCAGCTGCATATCATCATCAACAGCAACAAATTCAGCGGTCAGTTGGTTCAGTTGCCTCAGGAACTACAGCACTTGGTCAAGTTCCTGGCAGTACCTTTGCTCAGGCCTAGGAGCTGTAACGTCTATATCAAAGTCAACATCTCCCGCTGTTCCATTGGGTGTTAACGTTCATCAGTCAACTAGGCAGCCACTTCACCTAGTTCAGTCACAAATGAATCAAAGCAGTCAAAAGCGACCTCCTAGTGGACAGTCTCAGTTCCACTCAAGTCATTCTGCCCAGATGGGTTCGACAACATCCAGTGGTATGTTTAATCACTAATACAATATTCTGCATACTAGTTACATAAATTTTTATTTCTAGTTTCTTTACGAATTTTTTATTGGTCTATATGATATCTTCAGAGATAATAACCGCCTAAGTTTTCTTACCTTATGCTGTCGCTCCGTTTAACCATTACTGGCATACTTCATTTTGTCTTTGATTTAAGCCGTTAGGCGGCAGTAGCAACTGGTGAGGAATGTTACTTGGTTTTGGAAGTTACACTACTACTGCCTGTTTACCAATCAGTCAACAACATCATTACAAATAAATGCGGATGCACAAGGTTGCAGTGATTAGTATTACTTATTCACCAAAAGCGGGAGAATTCCTGAACCATTTGACGTGCGTATCTCAGTAATAAAATGTGCTGATTAGAACGATTGTTCGTCGAAGCCTCACGAACCCAGAAAAATCGTTGGATATTAATGCGACTAAAAAAATGGTCAGCGCCAATGACTTAAGTGCGACCGGATTCCGGGGGAAAAGTTGTGCAGTTGGCTGTATAAATCACAACACCAGTCAGGTATTTCCCGTGGTTAACCAGTATTTCAAGCAAGATTGTCGCTCCTTCTGAGCACACGTGTTTGTCTTCGCTTAAATAGATATGGATGTTGACTGAGGTTTACAAAGTTTACAAGGATTTGTAGCGTAAAATGAATCAGATTTCGTGAGTTGCATACAACCTTGAAAAACAACACTGTCAATGGAGATTAGAAGTATGTAGCATGCATCAATGGTGTTGAGAACGGGATCCAGACCCAGAATGCGAGGACACCACTGAGTCAACGAGTCGAGGATATATGAAGCATGAGTTAAAAATCCTGGCCAAAATTAAGGTCAGTTTGTACTTCCATATTAAATCTAACATGGAAGTACGTTCTACTGCACAGTGCAAGTTTTACGCTTATAGCAATTTATGCTTAATCTCCTTTCCATCGTTTTTAAAACCTTTTATGTATTCCTAGTCTTCAATGACTTATCGTGAATATTAGGATATTTGAAGCTGATAAGAAGCCATGAAGTTAAATATTGTCTTCATTCTGTAAATCTGTTCTTATTTTGTTCAAACGTTATCAACAGAACACGATGTATGAAATATAACTGGTGAGCAACAGATCAAAGACCAAACAGATAATGAATCCTATTATTAGAAAACCAACTTTTTAATCATATTAAAATGGTATCAACCTTGAGACTGATAGATACCAGCTATCTCTAGAACTTCAGGAAGGAAGAATAGTGCAGGAAAACCCATACAAAGGAATGACAAAATGCAGAGACAGTGAAAGAGTTGGACAGAAACCATGATCTATCAAGATAAAAACTGAATACACAAGAGACTTTTACAGTCAAAAAACCTCGATGACTAGAACACCCGCCTGGATAAGTTGCACGCAACTTTATGTTTGTCACCATCTTCAGTCATCCTGAAACTTTTCCTGTCCTTATACGTCAGTATCATTCACCACATCAAGATATAACCGGGGATTACCACCCAACCATCCATCACATCAGGATACAAACAAGCAGTTTGAGCCTAATGGACAGTCATTATCCTATTACGTAGCAGCCCGAAATTTCGGAGTTATGTACAGTTATTTTACTGACCTGTTCGTTACTAAGTCTTACTAAAGCAGGGGAACAAATAGGTCTTGTCAATAGATATACCCAGCGGACGTTTTTGGTATAATGGAAGACCTCAAGGGAACTAGTGTTCCCACAGCATAGTTCAATGGGCCATTGTGATATGCAATCCTGACCACCACTTCAGGGTAACAGCTGTCGATCGGGCTTTGCAAACCTCGGTGGATGCACATCAACTTGCCCTTAGATTGTCTGGCTTTTCGAAACACGTTGTGTGGTGACTTGGCTTTATCAGTACATAATCTTGTGAATGTGTTTTCACGTTGTTTCAGCTCATCCAGCCTCAGCATCTCAGACCGTTCCTCATCATCGTGGGAATCACCCTGGCCCTCCAGGATTTGGTACGATGAGCTCTCATGGCAGTCTTTCACAATCAATGGATCCTAATTCGAATTTGCATAACACACACCATCAAACGAGGGCTTCGCCATCACTTTCACCAAGTCCTGGAAGCAATATTTATCAGGTTAGTGCTTATTGAAGTAACCTGTGAAAAGATCTACTTCGTTGTTACCTTGGTAAAGACGTCAAGAAATCGTTTTATTATTAATCAGATTTTTTCCTCAACATTCACTCCCCAAATCTATGCTTCTCAAGGAAAATTGAGATAATTTTCTGCTTGTATCGTTATTAACGCCAAGCCGTTTTAGATCTAGGATATTATCCGACAATAACTTTGAAGTCAGAAATATTTTCTACTTCTTTTCCTCTGAGAGATTAGAAACATTAAGTAGTGATCTTGTTTACACCAAAAATGCACAACAGAGTGGTGTGGCTCACTGGTTTGGTGATTCGAATTTTGAGCCATAGATTTGTGTTCAAATCGTACTCCACCTACTTCAACCCACGCAACTGACTGGTACCATAGGCATTCACGCTTCAACCACAGTTGCATTAACTACAAAGTGTACTAGTTAGCAGGTCGATAAATTTTGTCGCCTTATTACTGAGCATGGTCACAATTTGTCATTTTACGTCCTGTGCATGTTACCGTGCCATATGCAAACTCATCCACTTCTTTGGGATACAGACTATTTAGTATGTTTATCACGTTGAAGTTGTAGATTTGTTTTTGAGTACTTAGTACATGAACGCTCACATCTGTGTTGCGCACTGTACGAAAGCTAATATTTGATTGTCTTCTCAAAATGAAACCGAAACCGTAAATGAGCTGATGATTATATAGTACGTATGTTATCCTAGTTACAGCTGTGTGTTGTTTATTTCGTTAGATGAACATATATGCAGTACAATCACAACTTTCGACCGGTATTTTCTGTTACAATGAGTTAGTTAGTAAGTGTTGTTTATTGAGTGGATATTGGTTTGATTATACCGGCCTAATGTTTGTATAATGACATCAACTCGGGATTTTCGCATACAAGGCCCACACATAATTTTGTTGGAAGTAACTGTGAGAGCGGTCTCAAACTTTAAACTAATCTCAGTTTCTAACCACTGTTGATGTACTCCAGTGCATCCTACGGCGTTTTTTACTGTGAATTTTTTCCACGGTGCATACCTATCACACTTTCAGGAATTTAATTTCCGTTTTCGTGTTAGAGGTTGGAAGTCAGTCGACAGTAAGTTCGGGACCTAGATAGGCTCCGTGTTTGTTGGCAGTCATCAGCAGGGCATATCTGCAACCATGAGGAAATTGTATCCCCCTCGGTGGCTCGAACCAGCATCACAGTTCTCTAGTCAGAGACTGCCGTCAATCTGCTCAGACCCTCCTACATGTCTGGGTTATGTACACAAACTTGATTGATAGGCTTCGATCAATAATGTCACATCAGTAATCCACTGGTGATCAGTTCGTGTAAAGTTCAGTTTTTTACTGGATTTCATGACGTGATTTTCGGAAATTACACCTAGTGATTTTCATGTTAATTGTTGTTCAAGGTCTTAGGTGTGTACTTATTGACTGTGTGCTGCATATATTATGGTCAGGTAAATGTTTTTTGCTACACATTAGTACTGTCAGCTTATTAGAAAACTCAAATTCTCGCCTTGATTTTTTCCCGGACAAATTTTCTTCATTTTGCGTTTTCTTAGTTTCGTGTAATCCTAATTTATTATTTTCTCATGCTTACTTTTGTTTCTCCTCTCAGACTCGCCGATCACAATTGGCTCCTCCACCAAATCATCCGAATAAAAGGCCTCGTATTTTGGGGGCATCCAAACAGCCTCATGCTATATCATCTATACCTCCAGGTCATGCGACGAACACTATTTCACCTGCTGGAATGGAGGCAATACTAGGGAGCGTCGTTGCTAGTAAGGCAATGGCAAGTCTTGCAGCTGGATCTAATTTCCTCAACCCAAATGCGTATTCAGCAGCTACGGAAGCTGCTGCTGCAGCTCTTACACCATTTTATACATCCATCAACAATGCCAATGTTTCAAACCCATCAGCAGCTACGACTCCTAACCAGGTTGTTTACCAGCCTCACACACAACACCATTGTTCATTGGGTAGTAACTCAACATCAGGTTCTCATTTATTCAACCAGCAACATGTTTTATCATCCACGAACACAGCATATGGTGGCTCTTTGGTGGGTTCCATGCCTAGTTCACTTTTTAACTCCTTGAATAACAGGCCAGCGTTCTCTCATGCAACTGTGTCTACTCAGGCAATAACTTCCGGACAGGCATTAGTGAGTACACCTGGCTTGGGATCGCAGTCTGTGACTAGTCATCCTCCTTCATCGCATTTATCTTCAAAGGCACCACATCCGACGGCCATCTCTCAGAGTCCTTCTCGCCTGATTTCTGGTCACCTTCATCATCCACATGTTCCCACACATCCTAGTCAAAACAGTTTTCATCAGTCGAATCATCCTTTACCTCAACCAAATTCTCAGCATCACATGATGGGACATTCCAATCTTCCTCAAGGTAGCGGTGTTCTTCGGCAACAAACTAAAGAACCGGCTTACCATCCACAGGTATATGCTATTGCTTTTAGTTCTGTTGCCTGTTGTGTTGTGTGTCCTACACATTTCTTCCAATATTTTGTATCCTCTATTAGTCACGCATTGCCAACTAACACATTCATTTATAGTCCAATTTTAAGGGTCTGTGTAATTGTGGAAAAACAGTATTTGAGAAATATCTTTAAAGACTGATGTATTCACATGCTTATGAGCTGATAAATGACCAACTTCACACTTCTGTTTGTTGTTCAGCTGATATAAGCGACTGTTAGTTAGTTAGTTAGTTAGTTAGTTAGTTAGTTAGTTAGTTAGTTAGTTAGTTAGTTAGTTAGTTAGTTAGTTAGTTAGTTAGTTAGTTAGTTAGTTAGTTAGTTAGTTAGTTAGTTAGTTAGTTAGTTAGTTAGTTAGTTAGTTAGTTAGTTAGTTAGTTAGTTAGTTAGTTAGTTAGTTAGTTAGTTAGTTAGTTAGTTAGTTAGTTAGTTAGTTAGTTAGTTAGTTAGTTAGTTAGTTAGTTAGTTAGTTAGTTAGTTAGTTAGTTAGTTAGTTAGTTAGTTAGTTAGTTAGTTAGTTAGTTAGTTAGTTAGTTAGTTAGTTAGTTAGTTAGTTAGTTTAGTTAGTTAGTTAGTTAGTTAGTTAGTTAGTTAGTTAGTTAGTTAGTTAGTTAGTTAGTTAGTTAGTTAGTTAGTTAGTTAGTTAGTTAGTTAGTTAGTTAGTTAGTTAGTTAGTTAGTTAGTTAGTTAGTTAGTTAGTTAGTTAGTTAGTTAGTTAGTTAGTTAGTTAGTTAGTTAGTTAGTTAGTTAGTTAGTTAGTTAGTTAGTTAGTTAGTTAGTTAGTTAGTTAGTTAGTTAGTTAGTTAGTTAGTTAGTTAGTTGAAGGCGGTCTACTGAGTGGTTTTGTGCTCTTTCGTATTTGTCACGGAAGCCGTTATGCAACATTTAGGATGTTACTCCACTGTCAATAGTCCGAACCCATACAAAAATCAGGACTGGATAACACGCAGATTTCTTCTCCAGTGACCAATCAGCATATGCAAATATCCCAGCACCGTTTGGTTTACTTGAGTGTACATCCGTTTCCCTTGGAGCTGTGGCCTATTGGTTTAGCGAGATGACAACCAATGGGTCACGGGTTCGAGCCCCATCCCACCTACCGAGGTTTGGGTAGTCATGTTGCATTACTAATCTTCACGTAATGGGTGTGGCTCGTTGTCTACTGCACGAATGTGCACAATGCTGCTGAGTGCATTTCGATTTCGGGTCTCCTTTTCACCTTTTTATAACACATTTTTACTCCACTACAAGTCAAAACGTGAGATTTAACGTGAATCATACCAAGGAGTTAATACTGTGTTTCAGAGGAAATTGAGAACAGGATTCCCTCATGTTCGTAGTAACGGTGCCATTTTGCTAAATTCCTTGAGTTACACACATAGACGGCTCCGTTTCGTCAAAGAATACATTTTGATAACTTTCCATTGATTTTCAAACACTCATTATTTCACTGGCTCGTGTAACTACGACACTGAGATATGGAAGTATTTAACGGGTCTGGCGAAATGAAAGACTCCATAATAAAATGTGTACTGAACAGCTCTTATGAACATAATTCAATACTAATATTCTGGAGAGACGTTTCCTAGAGAACATCTTCCTTGTTGTTGAAACACTGAAGAATGTTAGAATGCAAATAAGGACGTAAACGCATTCCGTGTCTTTCTTTCTACACATGTCATGGTTTAATCTTGTCATTAAAAACTTGTCTTTACTCAAATGACATGATATATTTTCCCCACTACGTCGATCGTTGATTTTCTCTCACGTTATTGTGTCCTAGACCACTTTTTCAATATTGTTTTGTAGGAATACTAAGTGATACTAAGTTCTGTTGCCCATTTGAGTGCTATTTTCAGTTGTCTTGTTTATTGGTTTTGGACTATGTAATGGCCATCGTTCTGCACCACTTAATCTTTAAATTACTTTAAATAATTTTTACGGGGACAACTCGTTATTAGGTAAATTTTGAGTTGCCCTAATGATCAATTATTTTTTTAAGGTTGAAGCGATATCCCCTGCTCCTGACGAATCACGCTTAGCGGATGCCCAAGATGCGAAACTCCATCGCGAACGCGAAGAGATTAATCGTCAACTAACTGTATTGGATGCTGATATTAATAAACAAGAATCTCACCTTAGAAATCTATGTGAACGGGAAGCGCGCCTCACTGCTCGTCTTGCTGCAGCACCTGCTCGTGGTATATCCAACAATGAATTGGAAAACAATATAGTTCCCGAAAGTAAATCAGAGAAAGTTGACGTTGTTGTATCAGATGCATCTTTCATTAGCAAAGTCAGTTTTGAACGGAACTACGAAAACCCAATCCAGGTGAGATTTTATAATTGTATCCAAATTATATTTTGATGAGATTTTTCATCACGAGAGTTCAGTGCATCTTGCTAACTAGTATCGATTTTATTCGATGAGATTAGCTGCCGTTGTCATTTGTCAGCGGTTAACTAGTAACGAAGGGAAGCTGCTGAGTTCGGTGTGAAGAAATTATCGGTGAATATTTTTTGATAATTTTAGGTTTAAAAGATGAAAGTTTTCAAGTATTCCTTAATTCTCGGTAGTTATTTCATACTCGTTCACCAATTTTTGCTTTCCTTCTTTCAATATCCCAGGCAATCATTTCAGAAAATCGGCAGCGTACTCGTCAGAGGCATCTCATTTTCACTAAGCTGTGTGGTCCTAAAGTTAAACCAGGACCTTATGCATTACCTTTTTACCGCCAACCTTCTGACTTGCCAAGCGTAAGGGCTACACAGTCTAGTTTTCGTGGCCATTTCCGAGCGAAACTCGTTCTTTACCTTCAAAGACGTCTGCGTGCTGAACATAGTCGAATTCAATTTTTAGCTCAGCAATATGAACGAAACTCTAAGGTATGTTGGTATATTGCCTACTTTTCATACCATTTATATGTCACTCAGAAGTTTTTATTTTACGTTTAAAGGTTGTATATCCGTATGATTATAACTAACAAGATATACTTTCCTTGGTCTTTATATTGAACCAAATTGATCTGTCTCGACGTATAATCTTTGTGAATAGATGCCTCAGTATTGCCTCAAGTTTCGTTTTAATGTCATTGACTTGGTGATGGCTAGCAGTGGAACCCAGGACGCATGCTTCGTTCCATTTGAGACTCGTCAGCTGTATGTGCTTCTTGTGACTCAGCCGAGTGTATGGTGCTCTGACGTTTGAAACGACGGGAACCAGTTTCAAGTTTCAATGAAAAAGCCACCACTCATCTGGATGCAGATACATCCAACTGATGAGTCCCTTGTAGGATGAGAAGTACCTCACCGCCTGTGCTGCCATCCACCACCAAGCAAATAACTTCCCTCAGTTATTACTAATTTTTGATTGTGTACATCGTGTTCCCCAATCATTGTGGAGAAATTAGATTTTTATTAACCTGGTGTTTCCTCGTGTATCATCTTCATTTAACAACTGCGGAATTATTCAGGTACCTTTTAGTAGTGGACAATCCTAGCTTAACCGTCTGGTAACTAATACAGCACAAACTACTCCAAGCAGAGTCGGAATTGTCAGTTTTCGTATCTAAAAGTCCATTTTCCTGTATACAGGTGTGCTATCTTTTCGCTGAACGATATTTTTTGTACATCTTGACTTATTTACTCCCAGCTGACAGTTTCTAATTTGACATGGTGCTGGGCTTGGATACCACAACCACCCAATGAGGCATGCTGGTAGGGACACATTTCTTTGAGGTCCCACCATACCAGAAAGGTTTGTTGTATAGTGATAAACAAAAAAGCTTCACCTTGATCATAAGCGGCTTCGATTATTATTATGATTATTAGTCCCTTGGGTTCCTAATGGAACATAGGGCTTCAGTAGCACGTCTCCAGTGAACTCTGTTCTCTGAAATCTTTTGAACCTGGCTCCACAACAGCCCAGAAGCTCTCATTTCCTCCTCGCACGATCTCCTCCATGTCACCCTCGGACGTCAAACTCGTCGCTTCCCATCGGGGTTCCACTCGAGCAACTGGCCTGACGCGTGATGTCCCCAGTCGGCCTTCTCAGTGTATGCCCAATCCATCTCCATTTCCTCCTGCATATTTGTTGCGTGATAGGTTCTTGGTTGGTTCGTTCCCAGAGCTCCTTGTTGCTTATTCTTCTTATTCTAGCCATCTGATCTTCAGTAGTGAGCGTAAGTAGTTGTTGATGAATGTCTGTAGTTTATTGGAAATCCCTTTCGTGACGCGCCAAGTCTCTGAACCATAGAGGAGCACTGACTTGACGTTGGTGTTGAAAATCCGGATCTTGTTCCACATGCTGAGTGGAGTGCAGAAGATCTCCACACTGGTTTCAGGCTAATGAACGCCTGTCTTGCTTTTCCGATTCTGACTTTGACATCCTCGTCTGTGCCTGTGCCGCCGCCCGTAGTTGAAACAGTGCTTCCTAGATAGGTGAAGGAGGTTACTTCCTTTAAGTTTCTCCCGTTGATGGTGACTGGAGTTTATTGTTGTTGTTGTTGTTGTTGATGGTGGTGGTGCGGTATCTTCATCACTTCTGTCTTCTCTATATTCACTTGAAGTCCCGTCTTCGCTGCCCTGCCTCTCCTGTCAACTTGTTAGTTTTCGCCTGTAGATCTTCAAGTTTGTATGACATCAGGCACAAGTCATCGGCGAAATCCAGATCTTCTAGGTTCTTTTCCGCAGTCCAGCGTATCCCCCTCTTCTCGCTCCCCACTGTTTGCTGCATGATCCAGTCGATCACAATCAGGAATATCATGGGGGATAGTAGACAGCCTTGTTTTACTCCTGTCTTCACTTCAAAAGCATCACTGAGCTTCCCATTTTGAATTACTTGGCATGTAGCATCTTCATATAGTTGTTGAATGAGGCGGATAAAGGTTTGCGGTACTCCGTAGTAATGAAGCAGTTTCCAAATTACCTCTCGGTCGACGCTGTCAAAGGCCTTCTCAAAGTCGATGAAGTTGAGGTTGAGTTGACTGCCATTCTATACTCTGTTCTATGATGATGCGTAGCGCTGCAATTTTATCCGCACATGATTTGTACTTCCTGGAGGCAGCCAGCCTGTTCCGGTCGTAGTTTTGAATCCAGTGCATCCTTAAGCCTCTCCAGGATGATGCGGCTTAATATTTTGCTTGGTGTGGGTGGACAGGAGAGTGATTCCTCGCCAGTTCTTGCAAACACTGAGGTCTCCCTTCTTCGGGAGTTTGACAAGATAACCCTTCTTCCAATCGCTAGGTACCTTCGATCCTGATCCTTTTTGCTATAATCTCAAACCACTAAACCACATGATCTCTTGGACGTGTCCGTGAAGTTTCGGAGCACCAACAGGTGCTAACCTAGCACAACTATATTTTGCATCACCGCACCGCCTCATACAATGACTACCTCTGCACTTCTTGTAATAAGTCCCATGACTAACCAACAGTTAGAAATGTGGTAGGGACAGTCGTGACAAATGCTCAAACTAACGAAGCTAGTATTTCAAGATGATTTCACTCAATGATTAACGATCGTCATTACACCTGAACTCGCTTTGTTCCACTCTAGAATTACATACCTAATGTTAATACCAAATGTTAGTTCTTCAGATATAATGGTGATAAAACATGTATGGTCATTGGACGTCTTCACTTGATATTGCCCAAGTGTTGGGCAAAATTGCGCGTTAGTGCGTTGTGCATCCCACCTTTCACAGCTAGTGTCAACACCGCTAGTGTTGACCAAGATTAACATATGCCTATCTGGCTTTCAGTGTACGGTTAGAAGCATCGTCAGTTACACGCTCATTAGTAGTCGCACAACTATGTGGTTTATAAACTTCCCGAAGACTTCCAACGGTTCATTACCAATGTTGAGTTCAGGTAGAGGCTCCTGGCAATCTTGTAAAAGCATTTTGACGGCGTTAGCACATACCTTACGGATACACAACCTAAATATGGTTTAAGTGACCTACATGTTGTCGATATCCCTCACATTTGGGGTTGTAAAGTCTCACCTGATAGCAAATGTGAATCATCACCTTTATGGCTATATCGAGAATGCCATTGACCACAGAGTTGAACAAGAATTGCGAAATCAGACAGTTCTGCTTAAGTCCTCCGTTAGTTTGGAACAATGACGAGATGTGGTTGTATGTCTTCACTCTACTTGATTTGTTAAAGCATAGGAGCTTCAAGATACTAGATACAAGATACAAGCTCAGTGACACCTCTCTCTACTGAACAGCTCCAGAGCATAACCCTGTCCAACAAATTGAACTCAGCCTTAGTACTGAGAAATAAACTATCACTAGTCTGCAATACAGGTATTGTGGTTTTCGAGCATCTGATGGAGAGTAGTCAAATAATCAGTACGTTCTTCATCAACCGCTGCTACATTAAAGTGGTTACTGGGTCTACACATCAGAATGATCCAATAAACTGTACTGATGAGAAGAATGTTCTCCGATTTTCTTTCATGCTAGAAACGTCTCTTGGATAGACACAGAGCAGTTACTGTCATAGGAGAAATAGCTAATGCTGTTGTAGGTATTCTAGAGCAAATTCGTACTGTTGGTCGGATGGAGCGTGACAGCAGTAAGGTGTTTCCTATGGAGGACTAGCATTATATGCTGGTGCTATCTTCCCTTATTAGGAGTTGCAATTTATCTGGGATTTGTGCTTTATTGGACTTGAGGAATTAGGGTGTATTCTGAACCCTTACTTCTTTCTGTGGGTTAGTGATTACTAACCATGGAGCACAACCTAGCTATTGAGGTCAACGTTGTGTGAACAGTTGGCCGATTAAATTGCTTTTTGAATTACTTCATCCAACTTTCCAGATACCTACAAAGGTTGTTGATCGGCATACTATCTACTTCATAAGTCTCACTGACACCAAGATTCTTTCTACCAGTAGCTCAGATGACCTATAGCATGTTTCGACTACTACCAGACCAGATGCAGAAGTTGCTTTGATTCTTACTTACGCGTTCTCACCGGCAGACCTCGTGGTTCTTACGTGAATGTTGTGTAATCTGTTGCGTAAAGATTCACACATGCCGTTGTACTCACTATCTGCTAGGATCGACCGACATGCACCAAGAAGCGGGGAATTGCTAGAAGAGACCCAGTATTATTAGCGGGACGTTCGTTGGAGCTGCAATCAGCTTCACTCGCCATTTTGATGACATCCTGTTGGCACAATGTGTATCTATACTTTCTACTGTGTTTGTATCCAGCCTGTTTAGGTACTTTGTTGAAGCATCAGGAGCAACCAATTTTCTTACACCAGGCTGTTAGAGACGTCAATTTTGATGGCCACTAAAACGAAAGATGAAATTACCACATATTGAAGAATAATCAGAGTTCAGTGAAGCGCTTCAAAAGGAGCAGCAATCTGTAATACACCTACTTCATCGGTGTTTAATTTTCGTCTGGCCTTTCCCAGTTCAAGCTTGAGTGCCAGACAGGTGGAATCAGGTGGGAGATTGGTAATAATTGTACCATGAATTGGTTCTGACTGGAAACAAGTGATCTGCAGACAGCTTCTGTAGACGATCTTCGTTATCTGATCCGCAACCAATTAATCTCCATTAACTACATGTGGGACTCTCCTTTGAGCCTAAACGTCTGATCTGTATGTTCAGGTCTTCAGCTAGCACTGCGGTATGTGTTGAGCAGTTTTGGCTGAGAAGAGCGTTCAAATGATTAAGGAGATTGTACTTATCTGCATCTAGGCTGCAACCAGTCGGAGTATAGGCACAGATAGTTAGGAGACGTCGTTCCCTTTGTTCTCATTGAGCTCTTCAGTCTTAAGGTACATATGTGACTTTTGATGGGGATTGTTTTTACCAGCGTGGCTCCGGCACAGTGTGACAGCAGGATTAGCTGCCTATATCACAGTCTCTCTAGATAAGCACCTAATAAACAGGTTCCGATCTAGCAAATAGGAAAGTTATTCAAAGCACAACACTTAAGTCTTGTATTCTGGTCTTTGCGACACTGCACAAATCAGTAATGAGGTTTCTGAGTCTTTTAAAAAATGCACTCAGCTGTCTTGTGCACATCCGTGAAGTGAGCAATAAGCCAAACCTATTTTGTGATGGTTTGTGATACTACCTGGCTGCCAAAACCTCGGTAGGTGGGGCAAGGCTGTAATCCGTTACCCGGTGGCCGACAGTCATCTCCCTGAACTGAACCACAGCTCCAAAATCATAGCTAACATCCTCTCCAGTGTATACTAAATTAAGCTGTGACTTATTAGTCTAGGGACACGATTTCTGACTGAAGGGTCTGGTTCAAACGCTGCTCTACCTACCGAGGTTTGGGGATTCAGGTGATATCGGTAGCCCTCAAACAACGGTATCCTCATTGCCAGATACACAAGCGTACGCTTGGTTTTATGGGTGCATTTTAGTCTATATTAAGGTCTGAACGTTGAAGGCAGCCAACATAAACGTTGCACATGATTTCAGAATAAATGAATTAGTTATCGTGCATATTAAGTGTTACTCAGGCTAGTATCGATACACATACTGGTTCGAGTTGCGTTTCTTTTGATGCGTTTCTCATTACATGTAGAGTACAAAGTTTGTTTTCAGTATTTACAAGGCAGTCTCTTGTTTCATTTTCTGGCGAAACAATTCCTTTCCGATCTGTTTGGTGATAACCTTACTATTATGTGTATTTAGTAACGATGGGCAGTGGCTAGCAGTGGAATCCAGGATGCGCATTTCTTCCTATTTGGGACTCGTCAGCTGGATGTACCTGCTTCCCAGTGAGTGATGTTGTTGCCACCGGACTCGAACTCGGGAGTGTATTGTTTAGAATTTTCGGTCTAAAGTGAATTCACCTTTGAATCGTCACTTATTACCAATCCCAGTTTATTATGATGTTCATCGTCTCACACTCATGACTCAGGAACACTTCAAACATATCTAGCTTAAACATGCAATTTATGTTTCTTAGTGTGTTAACTATTGTTGTCCTTCACATACAATTGTACAATTACATCCAGTTATCATGTATTAGCACAGCATAACCGTCAACGGTATTGTAACGATTGGAACGTGTAGCGTTGAACACTTTTCAGGATCAATTTATGTCACTCGAAAATCTTTCGAATCATCTGTAGTGAATTCTACACTTATCAAGGTGATTTTCAAATTTGTGAACTTTCTTACCTACTATGCACTGTAGTAATCCTGTTCATTCACCCTCTTAGCGATGTTTCCTGAAAGTACAGATTAACAAAAGCAGAACTCGCATTGTTTTATAGGTTATAGTTCCACATAGGATTTGCTTGGTTGGCATGGTACACAGTGAAAGTGTCGTATACTGGCTACCTTCCACTTGCGATTCCTTCTTCAAAGGAGGGGGATGTAATTGTGCGATATGTTGTTTTCGAAATAGGCTTCAGTGAATAGTGCTGTATTACTGTATGCAGCGTCAAATAAACGTTCCCTATATGGAGTTATAGATTAACAACTAAAAGGCAGGTACACAGTTGTCCTAGAAATTTAGGTGTTCACTTGTTATTGTGCTACCTTGAGACACTAGTATACGACTGCAACTGTCAGTAGCATCAAACTCACGAATCTCCTATCGCTCACATGACAAATTATTAGCATTTAATGGTGTGTTGCTTATAGCTATAATTACAATACTTACAACTTCCCTACCTATTTTTCTTATTAAATTTCCCCATCAACAGTGATAATTTGATCAATGGCTTCATTCAAAAATTTGGTTGTGGAGATTTTGTTGCTAAGTATTCAGCGCTATACTGTATTTTAGCTCTTCAAATGTGATGGTACTTCTTGTTTAACACCGTTGACTGTACTACCTTTTTGTGTCTGCAAACTGAGCTTGTCTGTATGTCTTTATGGTAGTTAGAACAGAAAATCAGCAGAGTTCTGGTGCTTTCACATGAATAGTGTAGTTCTTAGTGATTTTCTTCTAGCGAATTCACTTAACAAAAAAATGTCGAGTAATGTCATTGTGAATAATCAGCATGTAGAAGAGGAATCTACTTTCTGGTATTTAAATTATGCTCACTAGTTGTTATTCACTTATTATCGAACATTGAACTAGGCATCTTGATTTGTACAGTTTAGGAAAGAATATAATTATTACAGAAATGCACGGTATATATCATGGATTAGATTGCTAAACAAATGTAGGTTTTTTTGAAGTTGATAACATTGTTTATCAAGTGGATGAAAGTTAAACTTCAAAGCGAGCGCTTTGAATAAAAGGTTAGAATGCCGCCTCGCATTACCTTGTGACTGGTATTCAGCTTCTTATGTTTATATGTAGATTGAAGTGTTTTCAGTGTAAATCAACATTGTATGAAAATAAATTTACCTGAATACATAAAAGACTGGTATAATCCTTTATCAAGTCAGTCAGGTTTGGTTTTTAAGTAGATTTAAGTTGGGAAAAAGTTAAGGATAACAAAAACAAGACATGTCAGTTAAGCTGTGACTGTTGATGTTGACTAGCTAACTGAGGTCTTCGAGATTTTAGAAATAGATAGTTGGTAACTCGTTGACATTCTGCAGAATCAATCACAGTGGTGCAGACTTATTTAAGCTCTCTATTTTACAAAATTGTAAACATTTTATTTACTTTCATTCATTTATTATCCTTTTCATATATCCTTCTGTTTATTTTCATTTCACTGTATTTTCATTATTTTGTTGTGTGGAGAAACGAAGTAACTCACTTCTGAACAAGTTTCTTTATTGGTCCATCTCTCTGATAAACATTTAATTACTTAACTGAAAAGTGGGACTGAGTACAACTTGCTATATTTGATTTGGAGAATTGCAGCACCACTTAAATCTAGGTTTTCAGCGGTTGCCCTAGGCTTACCCATTTAACGTGGAAGATTTGAATCAGGTGCGTAAAAGATTAAGTCACAGGCTCTCCCTACTTACGAAAACAACCTTCTGTAAGTGGTGTATATCATGGACCTCACAGTGTTCAAACTCAGAAGTGACTTAGGGTTGACATATGATTTTAAATACGGTTACTAATTTTTTGACTATAAACTTTGTTCTTGATACAGGTATTCACTAAAAAGATGGATAAACTGCTAAGTACAACCAACGTCGTCAACGAGATCTACGTCATCGAGATATTTTTGAGAAAGCATTACCAGAAGTGAAAAAAAATCGCGAAGATCGAGAAATGGGAGGCACTGAGTACAGTAAGCCAGGAATTGAAGATGGTTAGTCTATTATTGATCGATTGTTATAGATGTTAATCTCGATATTCTGTATTTGTAGAGATTATTCAAGTAGAGGTTTTAATCTGAATAATTCAGATCTGACTTTTTCTTGTTAGCGTACTTCAGTGTTGTGTGTGAATTTATTCCAAATTTTTATGAGTGTTACAGTACGAAGGAACTGTATGTGCTGATGGTATTGCAGTACATATTTGCGGTTTAAGCCTGCATGTTTTGAGTCTGAGTTTAAGTTTGTGTGTACAGAGCCATTTATATTAATGCGTTACCTTCACTACAACTTCATACTTTCCTTGTGTATGCATATTGAAGATGGTGCACAAACACATGAAAAACACTGCATGTGAATAGTACAACACCGAAAGCAGGAAGACTGTGATGACGCGTTTTTGACGTCACTATAACATCGAGGAGGCGAACTTATTCTTGAGATTCTAATGCTTTCTAATTGTTTTATAACTAGATTACAAATGTGTGGTAACACTAAGTGGTAAGCCCTTCTTAAAAACATGTTTACAAAGTGCTTCTGTCAAGACTGGCAAATTTTTTCAATAGAATTTCAAACTGCTAGAATGCTTCTTTTATTTTGTGTGAAGATATCGTTTTTTTCTTATGATGTGTTCATTGATGCACAAAACTGTGAAAGATTACGCATAGTCGTTAAGTAGTGCAATACAAGTCTTTGCTACTAATTTTGCCTGCTATGCTTTGTATTATTCATTTCATTGTGTTCTTGTTTGCCTACCATAATGACCCATACACCCGTATAGGCTCTATCGACAAGAAATGCTACTTCTTGAAGGCAGTAGTAGAATGGTGTAACCAAAGGTAGATATAGATGCACATTTAATTGTAGTCATGTTAAGATACTTGTTAAGAACGAATAGCATGCGCAGCACTGTTTATCGTTGTAGGAGGCAGGCGTGAGAAACATTTAGCTTTCATACTAACACCCTATTTTGATTGAATAACTTCAGCTTCAAGCGTAGTTTTGATGCATAAAGCCAGGTATATGAACTCTCAAAATGCAGCCCAATGTAGTATGTATCACTTGTTCCCAGCCATATGGTCAAGCTCCCAGATGGATTAACCGGTTAATACTGGCACTTTGAATAGCTGACGAGAAAGTGGGATTAAATGGTATCAACCTCCCACATGCCTGAACTCAACTGCTTTTTATTCATTACCCGCTCGACAGGTTCTCTGTCATGGCGTCCGGTAAGCGTGTCTAGATGCTTCAAAAAAGTCAGGAATCACTGAAGCTTTTCAAAACTAATCATGATGCTTCGAAGTTTTAAGGAGGAAAATGTAATCTTACGTGTAAATATCAGATTGGTTGAAGAAACGAAATCAATGGAGAATGCTGTTCTGGTTATAGCTGAGACTATTGCAATCATTGTGTTTTGTACATATTTTTGTAGTACGCGTGCTGTCCCACCACTTTTTTCTATTTTTTCGAGAGACCTAATGATAACTGTGGAAGCGTTTAAAGGTTATGGTCCAGGTTTCCACACGTATATAACCAAACTGCCATTTTTTATCACTATGTTTTACTAATATTCTTACAGTAACATCAAGTTCTCTTGTTTCTTTCTGAACAAAAGGTTGGGAATATTTGGTTAGGTCTAGTCGACTTTACTCCAGGCAGTTGACCGCAACGATGAGTGAAAGTAGCTTGCTGAGGGTCGATTAAATCTCAGCATGGATAAAACAGATTGGATTAGCTTTTACCAATTCACGGTGCTTGTGACAGGCGAGTCACTCAGCTGGGATGCCCAACTCGTCGTTTCCTATCTGGCTTCCACTCGAGGGCCTGGCCTGGCACGTGATGTCCCCGAATGGTCTTGCCAGCGTATGTTCAATCCAATTCATCTCCACTTTCTTCTGCATATTTGTTGGACGATGGGTTCTTGGTTGGTCCGTTGTGCGGCCAGAGTTCATCGTCGCCTATTCTTTCTGACCATCTGATCTTCAGCATGGAGCGTGGGCAGCTATGTGTGAATGTCTGTAGTTTGTTGGGAATGCTTTTCGTGACGCGTCAAGTTTCTGAACTATATAGAAGCACTGACTAGACTGACTTAGTGTTGAAAATCCGGATCTTGTTCACGCTTTATGCTGAGTGGAGTGCAGTAGATCTCCACACTGGTTTCAGATTGATGAAGGCTCATCTTGCTCTTTCGATCCTGGATTTGACATCCTCATCTGCGCCACCGCCTGTAGTTGAAACGATGTTGCCTAGGTAGGTAGGTGAAAGACACTACTTCCTTTAGGTCTCTCCCACTGATGATGATTGGTGCTTGCTGTTGTTTTGGTATCGTCATCACCTCTGTCTTCCCTACGTCCACTTGAAGTCCCATCTGCGCTGCGCTACCTCTTCTGTCAACTTGTAATTTTCTGCCTATAGATCTTTGAGTTTGTGCGACAAGACACCAGACATAAATCATCATCGGCGACGAAATGGAAATCTTCTCCTGGGATCTTTTCATCGGTCCAGCCAGCGTATGCCCATCTTCCCGCTCCTCACAGTCTGCTTCATGATCCAGTTCAGTCGGCCACAATCAGGAAGATCATTGGTGATAGTAGATGGGAACCTTGTCTTACTCCTTCCTGTCTTCACTTCAAAGGCGTCACTGAGCTTTCTATTGTGAATCGCTTGGCACATGGCGTCTTCATGTAGCTGTTGAATGAGATTGATAGAGGTTTGTGGTATTCCGTAATGTTGGAGCGGCAGTCTCCAAATGACTTCTCGGTTGACGCTGTCGAAGGCCTTTTCAAAGTCGATGAAGTTGAGATTGAGTTGACTACCATTCTATACTCTGTTTTATGATGATGCGCAGCGTTGCAATTTGGTCCGCACGTGATTTGTTCTTCCTGAAGCTAGCCAGCCTTTTCCGGTCGTAGTTTTGAATCCGGAGCACCTCTCAGTCTCTCCAGGATGATGCGGCTTAATATTTTGCTTGGGATGGACAGGAGCACGATTCCTCGCCAGTTCTTGCAAAGGCTTAGGTCTCCTTTCTTCGTAAGTTTGACAAGATATCCCTTCTTCCACTCAGCAGGTACCTCTCCTTCCTTCCAAACCTTCTGCACTAGTGGTGTGAGGACGTCCGCTGCTGTCTCTGAGTCTGTCTTCAGTGCTTCTGAAGGAATTCCATCTGGTCCCGCTGCCTTCCTGGGGTTCAGCAACTTTATGGCATTCAGGACTTCAGCTCTTGTCGCGCAGGCCTTGTGTTCACTGATAGTTCTGTGGTTGTGCTGCATGTGGTATTTCTAGACGAGTTGCAGGTAGCGACCGATTCAAGAGTTTTCTGAAGTGGCCAGCCCATCGTTCCCTTTATGTCTCCTCTTTGGTAACCAGGTTTCCTTCACTATCTTCCATTAGTTTCGTCTGCGTTGATCTCTTCCCAGATAGTAACCTGGTTATTTGGCGTGATGTTGTCAGGTCTCTGTCTCTCCTACCTGCAGCTTGTTCTGCTTGATTTGCTAATGTGTTGTAGAGGTTTTTTGTCTTTGCTTGCACTCTTCTTCACTTCTTTGTCCAGTGTTTTATAAGTTGTGCTCAGTTCCTCTTTTCGTTGTTCTTCCTTGCACTGCACTGGACTTGTGCATAGTGTAACATTGCATGATTGTGACCTTCCTTCATTTTGGGTTGAATACCGCCGTCATGTTCTTGCAGGAGGAGATCGGTTCCGGCTGCATGAGGCTACTTCATGCTGTTGAGAATATCGTGATAGCCACTCCAAAACTCAGTGTACGCGCGGTTGTCGTCTGGGTGGGATTATAAAAGTAGATTGTTGACTCCGCATTTAAGAGTTTGGAGAGCTCACTTCGATTCCAACCACTTTCCCAGATTCCAAGCACTTCTATGCCATACCTTCTCATCACTTTTGCAATCTGGGCAGCCTCTCTGGGTTCATACATGGTTGGGACATTCCATGTGCCCACGTTCACTTTTGTTTCATGGAGAGAATAGGAGATATATGGGCCCATTGGCTTCCCGATGACCTTCACCAGCCGGCATCATTTCGTCTCCCCGATTCCAGCCAGGAATAGGTTCATTTTATACTATATATATATATATATATATATATATATATATATATATATATATATGAAGTTTTTTACTTTGTGAATGAAGTGGCTTCGTTTGATCTGTGTTGTTTCCTGACACTATTGAACTGGGAATCCTTTCGAATCGAAACGTTGGTGTTTTACATGTTAAAAGTGTTTTTAAAGGTGTAGATACTTTGCTGGCTCAAATTTTCCATATGCGTAAATGAATCTACCTTCTCTTTTCATGAAACTGACGAAGGATCTATATTGTGGCTTGTTTTGTTTTATTGGTGTGTGTAGCTGATTCCGGTGGGATATCGAACATGGCAGATGGATCTCAGACTACTCCTTACGATGCCGTTGAAGAAATGAATAAGTTGAAGGTAGGTTTTTCTGTACTGCATTACCGTTTTAATCCAGATATGTCGAAGTTACTTTTCGTAATGATATGTTTCTCACGTCTTTCGGACGGAATTATGAGTAGGTAAGGCGGAGTGAAGTATTTTAGTGTTATTTCAGTGTAGTCAGCCATTGTCTGACAGAACATACAAGATAAGAACTTTGGAACAGTTGGGAATCGGTTTGACAGAAACGTGAGATTGTGGTTTTTACAATTACCACTGTTTGTTAAAAGCAGTTACAGTATTCGTAAAATTATTTTTCATGGACTCATTTTCAGTGTTGAATGATGTTAGGTTAGCATTTACATCTCAGCGTAGTCTTTTGTGTGGTGGTTGGAGTTGGTATTCTGGCTAAGCAAGCATGTTATCAACGCAGTTGACCTCTCCATTGTACGGTTTAGTGATAAAAAACCTAAGTTTTTCCATATGTTTATTATGAATAACCGAAATGAAACAAAAATTTCTAGGATATATTTTTTTTCTGAGACATTTTAATCTTTTTGTTTGCATCACTAGTTTTGTTCATCCCTAATTTCCAAAAATTCAAAATATTGTATTCTCAGGAATATGCGATTGACCCTCCAGTTATGCTTGCACCGTGGCAGCATCGATATCAATTCATATGTGAATCAGGTTTGATTACTGATTGTCGTGCTCAGCTTCAAGAAACACAAGACCTATCAAAATGGTCAGAAGAGGAGAAGCAGACATTTAAGGAAAGGTTTTTAGCCACTCCTAAAAATTTCACCTCAATAGCTGCACACTTGGAGCGTAAGTCAGTTGCGGAATGTATCCGATATTACTACTTGTCTAAGAAGAAAGAGGGATATAAGCAACTACTAAAAAAACATAATGCTCGCCGACGTCGGGCTGCCCAAACGGAACGCGGGGGCGGAGGTACTGGTGGGGCATCAGGTAATTCAAATGTTGGTGGGAGTGGAAGTGGTCATGGTAATAATGGGAACCACTCAAATGTTAACTCTGTCGCGCCACCTGCTGGAAGTTGCCAAATGGACATACAAACATCAATTCTCCCCGTGGAGACCATAACGAATCAGAAGAGAAAGATATTTCAACTTCACGGAGTTCTCAGTTTGACTCTTCAGGGTTTGCTGAAACTCATGAAACCAGTGAAGTTAAGGTGGGTTTTTTTCTTTTCGACCGGTAGTACTATGCTTTGCATGCATTGATTATGCTTGTGTTCATAAATGTAAGTGTACTCATCTAATACGTCTTCATGATTAGCGTCAGACATAACATCGGATTTAGTAGGTTTTTCGTCATTCACCATCCTGATATACTCCTTCTTAACTGAAAAAAAGTAATCTGAGTGCATTCTTTTCTGTTCGTACATTTTAAGAATAGCTGTGTTTTGTTTTTTATGACGGGCATACAGTTAATAAAAGATATGTTTGCATTAAATGATTGTCATCGGACTTTATCTGTTTGGAGTCAGGTATATTCTGACATTAATAATTTGTTTGCAAATAGCATAAGACTATTTTTGACGGTAACTGGTTACAGACAGTCCTATCGTGTGTAAGCGTTTCACCTTGTTTACAACTCGTTAGCTAGATGTACTTGTCCAATTGAAAGTTATCATTCCCATGGACACAGAAACACTCTACATGTAATACCAAACTGTTTCGTTTACTCGACAGCCACAGTTTGTGAGGCACTCAGTATGTTGATTTCATTAATTTTAACCAAACGGAGATTTTTGCATTATATATGTGTATGATCAAACATAGAATAACTTAAAGAGAAATTGAATGGTTCAGATTGCTGACTACTCAATAAACTGTGTGGAGGAAACTGGGTAGCATTATTCAAGCTGGCAACAGAACTTAGTATCACTTAGTATTCCTACAAAACAATATTGAAAAAGTGGTCTAGGACACAATAACGTGAGAGAAAATCAACGATCGACGTAGTGGGGAAAATATATCATGTCATTTGAGTAAAGACAAGTTTTTAATGACAAGATTAAACCATGACATGTGTAGAAAGAAAGACACGGAATGCGTTTACGTCCTTATTTGCATTCTAACATTCTTCAGTGTTTCAACAACAAGGAAGATGTTCTCTAGGAAACGTCTCTCCAGAATATTAGTATTGAATTATGTTCATAAGAGCTGTTCAGTACACATTTTATTATGGAGTCTTTCATTTCGCCAAACCCGTTAAATACTTCCATATCTCAGTGTCGTAGTTACACGAGCCAGTGAAATAATGAGTGTTTGAAAATCAATGGAAAGTTATCAAAATGTATTCTTTGACGAAACGGAGCCGTCTATGTGTGTAACTCAAGGAATTTAGCAAAATGGCACCGTTACTACGAACATGAGGGAATCCTGTTCTCAATTTCCTCTGAAACACAGTATTAACTCCTTGGTATGATTCACGTTAAATCTCACGTTTTGACTTGTAGTGGAGTAAAAATGTGTTATAAAAAGGTGAAAAGGAGACCCGAAATCGAAATGCACTCAGCAGCATTGTGCACATTCGTGCAGTAGACAACGAGCCACACCCATTACGTGAAGATTAGTAATGCAACATGACTACCCAAACCTCGGTAGGTGGGATGGGGCTCGAACCCGTGACCCATTGGTTGTCATCTCGCTAAACCAATAGGCCACAGCTCCAAGGGAAACGGATGTACACTCAAGTAAACCAAACGGTGCTGGGATATTTGCATATGCTGATTGGTCACTGGAGAAGAAATCTGCGTGTTATCCAGTCCTGATTTTTGTATGGGTTCGGACTATTGACAGTGGAGTAACATCCTAAATGTTGCATAACGGCTTCCGTGACAAATACGAAAGAGCACAAAACCACTCAGTAGACCGCCTTCAACTAACTAACTAACTAACTAACTAACTAACTAACTAACTAACTAACTAACTAACTAACTAACTAACTAACTAACTAACTAACTAACTAACTAACTAACTAACTAACTAACTAACTAACTAACTAACAGTCGCTTATATCAGCTGAACAACAAACAGAAGTGTGAAGTTGGTCATTTATCAGCTCATAAGCATGTGAATACATCAGTCTTTAAAGATATTTCTCAAATACTGTTTTTCCACAATTACACAGACCCTAAAATTGGACTATAAATGAATGTGTTAGTTGGCAATGCGTGACTAATAGAGGATACAAAATATTGGAAGAAATGTGTAGGACACACAACACAACAGGCAACAGAACTAAAAGCAATAGCATATACCTGTGGATGGTAAGCCGGTTCTTTAGTTTGTTGCCGAAGAACACCGCTACCTTGAGGAAGATTGGAATGTCCCATCATGTGATGCTGAGAATTTGGTTGAGGTAAAGGATGATTCGACTGATGAAAACTGTTTTGACTAGGATGTGTGGGAACATGTGGATGATGAAGGTGACCAGAAATCAGGCGAGAAGGACTCTGAGAGATGGCCGTCGGATGTGGTGCCTTTGAAGATAAATGCGATGAAGGAGGATGACTAGTCACAGACTGCGATCCCAAGCCAGGTGTACTCACTAATGCCTGTCCGGAAGTTATTGCCTGAGTAGACACAGTTGCATGAGAGAACGCTGGCCTGTTATTCAAGGAGTTAAAAAGTGAACTAGGCATGGAACCCACCAAAGAGCCACCATATGCTGTGTTCGTGGATGATAAAACATGTTGCTGGTTGAATAAATGAGAACCTGATGTTGAGTTACTACCCAATGAACAATGGTGTTGTGTGTGAGGCTGGTAAACAACCTGGTTAGGAGTCGTAGCTGCTGATGGGTTTGAAACATTGGCATTGTTGATGGATGTATAAAATGGTGTAAGAGCTGCAGCAGCAGCTTCCGTAGCTGCTGAATACGCATTTGGGTTGAGGAAATTAGATCCAGCTGCAAGACTTGCCATTGCCTTACTAGCAACGACGCTCCCTAGTATTGCCTCCATTCCAGCAGGTGAAATAGTGTTCGTCGCATGACCTGGAGGTATAGATGATATAGCATGAGGCTGTTTGGATGCCCCCAAAATACGAGGCCTTTTATTCGGATGATTTGGTGGAGGAGCCAATTGTGATCGGCGAGTCTGAGAGGAGAAACAAAAGTAAGCATGAGAAAATAATAAATTAGGATTACACGAAACTAAGAAAACGCAAAATGAAGAAAATTTGTCCGGGAAAAAATCAAGGCGAGAATTTGAGTTTTCTAATAAGCTGACAGTACTAATGTGTAGCAAAAAACATTTACCTGACCATAATATATGCAGCACACAGTCAATAAGTACACACCTAAGACCTTGAACAACAATTAACATGAAAATCACTAGGTGTAATTTCCGAAAATCACGTCATGAAATCCAGTAAAAAACTGAACTTTACACGAACTGATCACCAGTGGATTACTGATGTGACATTATTGATCGAAGCCTATCAATCAAGTTTGTGTACATAACCCAGACATGTAGGAGGGTCTGAGCAGATTGACGGCAGTCTCTGACTAGAGAACTGTGATGCTGGTTCGAGCCACCGAGGGGGATACAATTTCCTCATGGTTGCAGATATGCCCTGCTGATGACTGCCAACAAACACGGAGCCTATCTAGGTCCCGAACTTACTGTCGACTGACTTCCAACCTCTAACACGAAAACGGAAATTAAATTCCTGAAAGTGTGATAGGTATGCACCGTGGAAAAAATTCACAGTAAAAAACGCCGTAGGATGCACTGGAGTACATCAACAGTGGTTAGAAACTGAGATTAGTTTAAAGTTTGAGACCGCTCTCACAGTTACTTCCAACAAAATTATGTGTGGGCCTTGTATGCGAAAATCCCGAGTTGATGTCATTATACAAACATTAGGCCGGTATAATCAAACCAATATCCACTCAATAAACAACACTTACTAACTAACTCATTGTAACAGAAAATACCGGTCGAAAGTTGTGATTGTACTGCATATATGTTCATCTAACGAAATAAACAACACACAGCTGTAACTAGGATAACATACGTACTATATAATCATCAGCTCATTTACGGTTTCGGTTTCATTTTGAGAAGACAATCAAATATTAGCTTTCGTACAGTGCGCAACACAGATGTGAGCGTTCATGTACTAAGTACTCAAAAACAAATCTACAACTTCAACGTGATAAACATACTAAATAGTCTGTATCCCAAAGAAGTGGATGAGTTTGCATATGGCACGGTAACATGCACAGGACGTAAAATGACAAATTGTGACCATGCTCAGTAATAAGGCGACAAAATTTATCGACCTGCTAACTAGTACACTTTGTAGTTAATGCAACTGTGGTTGAAGCGTGAATGCCTATGGTACCAGTCAGTTGCGTGGGTTGAAGTAGGTGGAGTACGATTTGAACACAAATCTATGGCTCAAAATTCGAATCACCAAACCAGTGAGCCACACCACTCTGTTGTGCATTTTTGGTGTAAACAAGATCACTACTTAATGTTTCTAATCTCTCAGAGGAAAAGAAGTAGAAAATATTTCTGACTTCAAAGTTATTGTCGGATAATATCCTAGATCTAAAACGGCTTGGCGTTAATAACGATACAAGCAGAAAATTATCTCAATTTTCCTTGAGAAGCATAGATTTGGGGAGTGAATGTTGAGGAAAAAATCTGATTAATAATAAAACGATTTCTTGACGTCTTTACCAAGGTAACAACGAAGTAGATCTTTTCACAGGTTACTTCAATAAGCACTAACCTGATAAATATTGCTTCCAGGACTTGGTGAAAGTGATGGCGAAGCCCTCGTTTGATGGTGTGTGTTATGCAAATTCGAATTAGGATCCATTGATTGTGAAAGACTGCCATGAGAGCTCATCGTACCAAATCCTGGAGGGCCAGGGTGATTCCCACGATGATGAGGAACGGTCTGAGATGCTGAGGCTGGATGAGCTGAAACAACGTGAAAACACATTCACAAGATTATGTACTGATAAAGCCAAGTCACCACACAACGTGTTTCGAAAAGCCAGACAATCTAAGGGCAAGTTGATGTGCATCCACCGAGGTTTGCAAAGCCCGATCGACAGCTGTTACCCTGAAGTGGTGGTCAGGATTGCATATCACAATGGCCCATTGAACTATGCTGTGGGAACACTAGTTCCCTTGAGGTCTTCCATTATACCAAAAACGTCCGCTGGGTATATCTATTGACAAGACCTATTTGTTCCCCTGCTTTAGTAAGACTTAGTAACGAACAGGTCAGTAAAATAACTGTACATAACTCCGAAATTTCGGGCTGCTACGTAATAGGATAATGACTGTCCATTAGGCTCAAACTGCTTGTTTGTATCCTGATGTGATGGATGGTTGGGTGGTAATCCCCGGTTATATCTTGATGTGGTGAATGATACTGACGTATAAGGACAGGAAAAGTTTCAGGATGACTGAAGATGGTGACAAACATAAAGTTGCGTGCAACTTATCCAGGCGGGTGTTCTAGTCATCGAGGTTTTTTGACTGTAAAAGTCTCTTGTGTATTCAGTTTTTATCTTGATAGATCATGGTTTCTGTCCAACTCTTTCACTGTCTCTGCATTTTGTCATTCCTTTGTATGGGTTTTCCTGCACTATTCTTCCTTCCTGAAGTTCTAGAGATAGCTGGTATCTATCAGTCTCAAGGTTGATACCATTTTAATATGATTAAAAAGTTGGTTTTCTAATAATAGGATTCATTATCTGTTTGGTCTTTGATCTGTTGCTCACCAGTTATATTTCATACATCGTGTTCTGTTGATAACGTTTGAACAAAATAAGAACAGATTTACAGAATGAAGACAATATTTAACTTCATGGCTTCTTATCAGCTTCAAATATCCTAATATTCACGATAAGTCATTGAAGACTAGGAATACATAAAAGGTTTTAAAAACGATGGAAAGGAGATTAAGCATAAATTGCTATAAGCGTAAAACTTGCACTGTGCAGTAGAACGTACTTCCATGTTAGATTTAATATGGAAGTACAAACTGACCTTAATTTTGGCCAGGATTTTTAACTCATGCTTCATATATCCTCGACTCGTTGACTCAGTGGTGTCCTCGCATTCTGGGTCTGGATCCCGTTCTCAACACCATTGATGCATGCTACATACTTCTAATCTCCATTGACAGTGTTGTTTTTCAAGGTTGTATGCAACTCACGAAATCTGATTCATTTTACGCTACAAATCCTTGTAAACTTTGTAAACCTCAGTCAACATCCATATCTATTTAAGCGAAGACAAACACGTGTGCTCAGAAGGAGCGACAATCTTGCTTGAAATACTGGTTAACCACGGGAAATACCTGACTGGTGTTGTGATTTATACAGCCAACTGCACAACTTTTCCCCCGGAATCCGGTCGCACTTAAGTCATTGGCGCTGACCATTTTTTTAGTCGCATTAATATCCAACGATTTTTCTGGGTTCGTGAGGCTTCGACGAACAATCGTTCTAATCAGCACATTTTATTACTGAGATACGCACGTCAAATGGTTCAGGAATTCTCCCGCTTTTGGTGAATAAGTAATACTAATCACTGCAACCTTGTGCATCCGCATTTATTTGTAATGATGTTGTTGACTGATTGGTAAACAGGCAGTAGTAGTGTAACTTCCAAAACCAAGTAACATTCCTCACCAGTTGCTACTGCCGCCTAACGGCTTAAATCAAAGACAAAAGGGCGTATTTGTGTACCGGCTAAATGGTTGACCGTGTGTGATTAGTTGTTTTAGGTGAAACGCGCTACTCGTTGGTGTAGTTTTATGTTTTCTTTGCGAGTTAAGTGCACCACACATAATTGTTCAAAATTTCATTCAGTCGCATTTCTTTCTAGGATGCTTATGGGTGCAAGAATCCTTCGAGGAGGGAGACGCTTCATGGAAACACTAGTGGAGCACGAAGTCGAACTGGCCGCGGTCGTCCACCTCAACATTGCGCGCATTCACATCATTCTAGTCACGGTCACAACACCGGTGGCTCACATGGACGTAACCGTTCCGTTAGTAATTGTTGCCGAATGAATGCAAATTCCCAAACTAATCTGGTGCCTGTAGGTACGTGTATAGTGAAAATTCACTCACTTTTCGCATTTGTTTTTGCTTATCCACAACATCGTTCATTATGTATTGAGGTATTTTTTGTATTTTCTGATAGTTTTCATTTGTTATTTGCAAGAATTAGTTTTAGTCGTGTCCAGAATCTAACAAATTCCTCATACGTAGTGATTTGTTTCTTTATAAATCTCTTACATATAAATACGTCTTCATGGCATAATGCTTAAAATATACTGGATTAAGTTACATGAAAATAAATTATGCGTACCCAAGGGTTGATGGAGACTTTCGATATCGTCGTTGACCAGTTACCGAAGTTCTGAAAGAATAGTTGTTATTCATATCTGTTAGTTATGCACAAGTAAATATGTTTGTTCAGAATCCTAAGTGAATAACATAAGTAAGTCTTATAGAGTTGTCTTCACTGTAATCTCAGATTTTTGCATCCAACATCGATATTACCTTCAATGACAAATAGAAAATCCTTACTAATGTTCCTTATTAGTGTCCTTTTTGTTGGCCCAACTGATAGCAGCTACCTTGACACGGTGTTGAAGCCCGTATATCACAATGACCCAACGAGCTGTACTGGTGGGACGTTCGTTGGCTTAAGGTTCTACCACATCAGAAAAGTTTGTTGGATAGTGGTAAGATAAAAAGCGTGTACCGTTATGAGGTAACTTTTTACATTTGTTGTGATGCCTCAGTTGTATAAAACATTGTTATTGATCTGAACATTTTAACGTGGCATTCCCACACCAATTGCGGACAAGGTCATTTTCATGTGTATACTTATTCACGTGTTTTGGATTGATTATTATTATTATTATTATAAAACGCTGGACGATGAACTTTTTTAAGTAATAAACTCTCCCATCTGCGAGCTTCGATCTTCTCTCTATTCATTCCGTGGTTGCAGTCAGTGGCTCTTGTGTACTAAGTTAGCTGTCAGCTAAGCGTGCGTATTATATCGTTTGGTATATATAACCGTTAGCGTTCGAAAGTACAACAACATTTTAATGGGAGTCCGAGAGCGACGTCGTACTCCTAGATGGGGTGTAACAGCGGTAAGATGTTTCCCTTGGATGACCAACGATGCCACACTGATTCTACCTTGCCCTATAGAAACGAAGGGGAATTTGAAAAGGTTGACCCTAAAAATAGTACACTGCCACTGTCTGCGGCGTGCCAGCGTCACGGGTTCATAATCAGGTTTACACAAAATGAACTTAACTCTCAAACTTCTGAAACGGTAGTTTATGGCGTCAAGCAGATATGCCTTGGGCTCTGCGGTCTTACACTAACCCTTCTTTTTCGGGTACGTCAAAAGGAACCATTCTTCCACAGTGTGAACCATCAAGAAGTGTCAACCGCCCTCACAACTATGTCAGCACTGGATTTCTCTCAGATCACTGTCCACCTTCTATGTTGGTAACAAATGGTTTTAAGTTGGTGTTCATCGTAGACCGACATCAGTTGGAGGATTAATGGTAGTTGGAAATAAGGACCATTGGATTCCGTCAACGGAACCTGAGGGTCGCGGTTTCGATCACCGGCGGGGTCATGGTTGTGCACTGTTGAAGAGTCCCATACTAAGACGAAACAGCTGTCCATTGTTCCTCCAACCGATGTCACTCTACGCTGAATGCCAAATTGAAATATCTTTAAATCCTCACAAACCCGTCAAACTCAAATGGTTTTTAAGTCATAACAACCAGACAAGTGCAATTTTAATGTTATTGATAAAAGTTCACGTTTCGCCAAAGTGTTGTCTCTTCCTTAGCATTTCATCTGTCATCGATATGTTATCCTAAGCTTTTTGACACTGTATTCGGGATCCCATTGATAGTGGGGTTTTATTGTGGTTGACTAAACAGTTATCCAGCTGTGATTGGAAGAAAATTACATTTGTTTTATTTTGGTTTTTATGGTTCCACATGGTTTTACGTTTGCATACTTTTCTACCGTAGTGTAGTGATGGAAGTAGCCCGTCGTTATTCCTTATAGTATTATGTCGCATGCATTGTTCAAATTACTTGAATCTAAGTTTTTAAAAGGTAATTACTCCAGTGCAACGTACATTTTTTTTAAAATTAGTGCAGTTAGCGGTTTAATCACCAGTTTTTTTAAATAGATATGATCTGATACTCATGTATAGCTTCACTTTCAAAATCTTCAATTTCATTTCAGTTAGTACTTTTGGAACACATTACGCAAAAATACCTTTCCAGCAATCAACACCTATCTGGTGATTTTCATAAAACAAGTGACAGTATTTGAAGATTTTTTATTATCTGCAGGTAGAATCTAAGAAAAACAGTCTAGGCTAGGTGTTTAAAGCTACGGAGTGATATTTCATCTTAGCGTTCAGTTGTTTTGATTCCTGTTAACTTCATATCTATACCTATATCTGTTGATATAGTGTAAGCTTTGTTGTCAAGTTTTAATGGCGAATATTTTTGGTGCAGTACTTTTTACTTTGTTTTCATTGAAATGAATGCAGCTATCAAAGAATGCGAGCCTGAAATTCGCTTCCCAAATTGGACAAGGAATTACCTGTTGAAGGCAGAGTAAAAAGTGAACCTGATAGCTATGTAAGTGTACATTAAATTGCATTTGGTAACATTTTACATTAAAGTTCTATCGATATATTTTGGACAAGCAGATTTCACTCTCCATGCAAGATGTCACTTTTCATCTGAATGTTCAGATTGATCTCACTCGCCTGGTATCTGATAAACTGGTGTTCAGCGTACGAATATCACAGTGATTCTCAAAGAATAATTTCGATTTTGAGTAGAACTATTAGTTCGATTTTTGTTTCTTTACAATCAAACAGTGGTCGCAGAAGTTACGTAGTTATTTACAACAATGACGACCTAATTGTCTTCGTTTTCATCTCATTTTGTTAAGTAGACGACAATTACTTCTTCAACCCGCTCCATTTCCCAATTCATAGAATCTTTTACTGACTTGAATAAGTCCGCATAAGTCTCAACCACCCTCAGAGCCAGTATTTAGCGCATCAACTTGCATCAAGCAAATGATTCACTTTGCCGCTGAGATTAAGGTAGTATTTTAAGTTTATCAAATGATTGTATCCTGAATTATTGTTCTAAATCAATGATTTTTGTATACTGTGTGGAAAAACTTCCCTTTGGTGTCGTTCCGTCGCACTATGCTCCTCAAGTGCCTCCATTCATATTACCTATCTGTAGCATCACATAACGTAGATAAAAACATCACACGCTCCTACTAATTGTTGGATACTTCCACCTCATTCAAACGACTAAAAATGGCGTTGTGCCCCAATGACACATTTTTAAAAGTTGATTGTCTTGGTTGTATTGTGTTCTCTGAGCTGGGTTGTTTAATCGTGAAGCTTTCATCGTTTTGCCAGACGACATCATCAACACTAACTTCAGTATGAAGCGAGCTGTGAATATCTCTCCGTGAGTAATTTAGTAGCTTGCTCTGACGATGTGGTCTGTGATTAGTTGTTTTCTCGGATTGTTGTGTTATTGATTGAATTCAATTTCGACAATGTAGAAATTTCGGACAGAGGAAACACAAAGAATGTCAGAGAATCCCTAGAAACTTGGTATTCAGGTCAGTCAGCAATCAACAGATGTATGGACATAGACCCAATCTATCAACCAATAAGAAAAATTATAAACGGCATAAAGGTCAGAGGTGAAGCAGAGGAATAGCCAACAGGAAAGTCTATACAATCACTAATATAACATTCGGAGGAAACAACCAGTCACAGACCACATCGTCAGAGCAAGCCACTAAATCACTCACGGAGAGATACTCACAGCTCATTTCATACTGAAGTTAGTGCTGATGATGTCGTCTAGCAAGACGACGAAAGCTTCACGACTTAACAACCCAGCTCAGAGAACACAATGCAACCAAGACCATCCACCTGAGCTACAAATATTCTCCATTATTTCAAAGGTGACTGTATTATTTTCAGCAGTTTTTCAGACACTTTCAACTACAAACCTAAAGAACGCAGTTTAGCTAACCTATAGCACCAGCTTCAGTAGATAAGATCAGAAAAATATGAAAGCTTAGACGTTATTCTGATAAACACTTGTGCATTTTCAAACATCTGCTTACTCTGTAACGGGGTATGCAGCTAGTTACTGCTAACTTACTTGTTACAGAGGTGTTCGTGATGATAATTACCTGATCACTTGGCTGTCAACTGTGTTTAAAACATGCATCTACATTCATTTTAGAGACGCATCTGATTTTTTAAAGAATGTATTACTCGCTTAAAGAACATGATCGTTCTGCCTTTTTTTGTCATTATCGTACATATCTATGATAAAAATATTACCCTATGCATTTTAAAACTGTCTCGTTATAAGCTTCTACCCAATTCTGTTAAGTTTCACTCAATTCCTTTACGATAAATTGAATAGATTTTACGGAAAGATAACCTCAAGAAAAAACTGACAGTCATACCTTGGATATTTTCGCCTTGTTATTATTCTTCACACCGTTATGTCTTATTGTCATTCTGTTTTTTACGTAAGTCTGAATTCACGTTTCTCGATGTAGCAGATACATTATTGATAAATTCAGCACTACGAACTCTCTTTGGGATTATTTATCATCTATTCCTATATTTTACGTCCACTATAGACTTCTCCAAACCCTTGCAACTTGATTGTTGGTATTTAGTTTCAGCATACTGGACGTCTTGAAGATATCTCTTCTTAGATGCAGGGGTGGGTGGGTGGTCAGTGTACACAACTGTCTTGTGAAATATAAGATATGATTGATGGCTCAGTAAACAAATTGTTTTGTTTGATAAGGTAGTTTTAATGGTACTACCATAGGGTACATTCTCGGTGACTGGTAGCATTTGTTTGATATTTTGCATTTCAACCGTGTTGGTATCGCACTAATTGGTTTTGAGCGTGAATTCAATGTTTTCGTTCTTTCTGTTTTGTCTTTTTAGCCTACATCAAATGAAAACCCAATGAATACAAGTAAGACATTGCCTTCGATAACCTCCCCTTCTGGTAAGACGTCATATTTCAAGTGGCTAAAAATGTTTTAAGAATAAGTCTATTTGCTCTTTGTACAATATATACTGTATTTTAATGGTTCGAACATTGAAAGCTAAGATATGCACTGTGGCTGAGTTCAAGTCCTTGCATTCCATTTCTACACATACATATGAAATGACTAAGCGAATAAGTGTATACGATAGCAAAAACCAGTTCAGTAATGAGTGAAGTTGTTCGTTAATTTCACTAAGTTAGGTGAACTACGTCAGCACCAAGATTTATGTTAACACAACTCACTAAGTCTTCAATGCTACCCCCTACCTAGATGTGTCATGCTGGATAAGAAGATGGTTCAAGGTGGCCAGACCAAGATGTGGCACCAGTCGATGAAGTCTCCTACTGTTGGTCTGAATCGTGTGCTGAGATGTAGACTGCCTGGTTGGTGGCTCAAGACAAAGAGAATCACTGGTTGAGGAGTGTTGATGAAATAGCTGAAAGTCGGTTACAATAATGCACCACCCCACATGGCTCAATCCAACAGTCGAAGGCTTCATACATTGGTGCCATGTTTTAATCTGGTCGCCTCGGACCTTTTTCCAGCCTGAACCTACTTCGGCCAGCATTGTGTGACGAGGGATACGACGACTAGGAGTACGTAACTCATGTCCCAACCCTCTCAGTCGGTTCACAATCATGTCGGCTGACTTACCTCTTCTTCCCAAAACTCTATGCCTCACTTTTGCCTTACTCACGTGGTGACACCACGAAACATAGCCAAACAGTGGAAGGCACCGACGTGTAATTTAGAGTGTAGTTTAAGGAGACCAAGGATGCTGTTCTGTGGATTCAGATTGTTGTCGAAGGCTGCAGAACTAGGAGAAATTAAAGATGATGTAGTATCGTCAGTTGAGAGACATGAAAGAAGATTGGAAGGTAATGATGAGGGAGGTGGATAACAGTCTGAAGAAACTTGAGTGCTGACAGAGTTGTGAGGGCTGTTGACACTTCCTGGCTGCCCATACCATGGAAGGCTATTTCTTCTAAAGGTACCTGAAAGAGATTTGAAAGAGACCGCAGAGCCTGTCACACGCAGCTTTTGGTGTATGACTTATTAAGGAGACTGGGGGGAAATGGTCAACAACAGTTAGTGAGGTTATAGCGGAGAAGGACGGATCGGCGATTCACTCGCAGGGAAGGCGACTGGGACGATGGGCAGAACACTTTGAGGAACAGTTTAACTGGCCTCCAGCCACCATTGCGCTGCCCGCTATCCAGTCGGACCCTGAATGGGACATAGAGACAGGTCCCCCAACACTAGAAGAAGTTGAGAAAGCGGTAGGTAGCCTGAAACGGGGAAGGGCAGCAGGACCAGACGGACTACCTGCTGAGGTATACAAGAATGGTGGTAGAGTTCTCTTAGTCAGGCTAACGGAAGTGTTAGCCAGTATATGGGAATCAAATACGATCCCCTCCGACTGGTCTAAGTCACTCATCATCCCAGTCTTCAAGAAAGGCGAGAAGTCCTCTTGTGATAACCACAGAGGAATCAGCCTGACAAACATAGTGTCTAAGATCCTAAGTTCTATAATTCTCCGACGCCTGAGTGGAGCTCGGGAACAGCAAGCCCGAGAAAACCAGGCAGGCTTTAGACCTGGCCGTGGATGTATCGACCAAATATTCACACTGCGCCAGGTCCTGGAACATAGGCATGCTTACAGACGCCCGACAATAGCTGTATTTCTCGACCTGAAGGCGGCATTTGACTCCGTTGATCGAGAAGTCTTATGGCAGTGTCTGTCACTGAAAGGCGTGCCTAGTAAGTACATCACCTTATTGAAAGCTCTCTACTCGAACACTTGTGGGCATGTTAGAGCCTATGGTGAGTTGTCCAGGGAGCTATACTCATCAAGTGGTGTCCGTCAAGGATGCCCACTATCCCCATTCTTATTTAATTTTATCATAGATATTCTTATGGAGGTTTCCCTCTCGTCACCTAATTACAAAGACGTTGACCGGATCACAGGTGAATTTTCCTTAGATCTAGAATATGCAGATGACATAGTCCTGTTAGGTGAAGACGCTGACAAGATGCAGAGTCTTCTGAACACTTTGAGTGGGAATTTGAGAATGTTTGGGATGCGATTTTCACCACCCAAATGCAAATTTTTGCTCCAGGACTGGTCTTCAGCGGTACCGCGGTTAACAATAGAGAGTGAAGTGGTTGAGTGTGTTGACCACTTCACTTACCTGGGAAGTAGGATCAACCCGGTGGGTTAGTTGCCGATGAGATTTCTGCACGGATACAAAAGGCTCGATTGGCTTTTGCCAATTTGCGCCACCTATGGCGCCGCCGTGATATTCGTTTGTCTATTAAGGGTCGCGTGTACTGCACAGCAGTCCGCTCTGTTCTACTGTATGGCTGTGAAACATGGCCATTGAAAGTGGAAGACATGAGAAGGTTACAGGTATTTGACCACCGTTGCCTTCGTAGTATAGGACGTATTCCGTGGTGTCACCATGTGAGTAATGCAGAAGTTAGGTGTAGAGTTTTAGGGAGAAGAGGTAAGTCAGTCGACGAGGTTGTGAACCTTCATCGACTGAGATGGTTGGGACACGTACTACGTATGCCTAGTCACCGATTGCCTCGTCACACAATGTTGGCTGAGGTGGGTTCAGGCTGGAAAAAGGCCCGAGGTGGCCAGACTAAAACATGGCACCAATGTATGAAGTCTCTGACTGTTGGTTTAAGCCATGTAGGACGATGCAGACTAGGTGGTTGGGGTCCACGGGACAAGAGGAACCAGTGGTTGGAGACCCTAGGTGATATGGCTCAGAACCGAAGTCAGTGGCGCAGATGTATACACACATTATCCTCATCTTAACAACGCTATACCGAATCTCACTATTTTGTCACTCCTCTTTCCTTTCTTCTCATACTTTATATTTCTTTTGACTGCATTCACTTATCTTCATCCTTCACCTCACTACCTTTTTACTTGATGTGCTGATATGAGGTGTGGCAACTCGGACCGTTACGCAGTAATGCCTGGTCCTATGTTGATAATGATGATGATGATTGCTTTGAGCTTTTGTTGTTTTGAAACCGGATGGTCGTAAAAGAAACGATAAATGAACCTGAAATTAAACGAGTAGACATAGACGAAGGAAGGATTTTTATTGTTAACAAGTGGTACAGAAGTCGTTAAATATGGTACACCTTGCACTAAGTCATTTGCACAATGTGCTTCATTTCCTCTCCTACTTCTCTCTTGATTTGCTCCTAATACGCCCACGTTGTCTCTTGCGTTTCTCTTGGCAGAATCCTTACCCATTGCTGGTAATTCCCTATGATTTCTGCCGCCCTCTCAGCATATACTATTTATATCCGTTCTGATCAGCAGCGCCCACTACAAACCAACATCACTGGGCCGGCAGAACATAGGGCATAGTGGAGTGTGTTATTTTTGGGACCGACCTTTCTACCCCCCTTCCACTGAGAAGGCAGCATCAGCAAGGAACTGCTGGTCATCCATGGGAAATACCTTACTGCTGTCACACCCATCCAGCTAGCAGCAGTTCAACTTCGCCCTCAGACAACCATCGTTTTAAAGTTATTCACACCACAACGGTAACTGCTTTTCCTCTAATCATTATTCAAGAGACCTTTCTGGTATGGTAGGACCTCGAGGGAACAAGTGTCGCACAGCATAGCTCATTAGGTCATTATGATATGCAAGCCCAACCACAACGACAAGGTAGAGCCTATCGGTCTGGGCAGATATATTCACTCTTTGACATCTAGAGATTGAATAATTACTCTAACCATTATCTTCAGATTGTTTGTTCTCTTACACAACTTTAATATCACTCTTTTTATATCCACCTGTTATCTATATACTACTGTGAAGTGTGACAACTTAAGCCGATGCACTTGTGCGCTAGGTTCTACGTTGATTTTGTCAACCAGTCAGTCATCGATTTTCTCCTGACATTCTGAGCACCTTACTGACTATCAAAAATAGCATATCAGAAACCCTTCTTGAAAAGTGGTGAAATTAGAGGCAGCTACTCTCATCCTTAACTTCTTATCTTTCTTCAAGTCTCTCGATCAATAATCCTACGTCCTCTTGCATTTCTTCCAGTTCTTGAAAACGATTTACCTTGTCAAACTCCCGAAGAAGGGAGACCTAAGTCTTCGCAAGAAGTGGTGCTCCTAGCCACCCCAAGCAAAATATTGAGCCGCATTATCCCGGAGAGACTAAAGGATGCGTTGGATTCAAAACTACGACCGGAACAGGCTGGCTGCCTCCAGGAAGTACAAATCATGTGCGGATAAAATTGCAGCGCTACGCATCATCATAGAACAGAGTATAGAATGGCAGTCAACTCAACCTCAACTTCATCGACTTTGAGAAGGCCTTTGACAGCGTCGACCGAGAGGTAATTTGGCAGTTGCTTCAACACTATGGAGTACTGCAGACCTTTATCAATCTCATTCAACAACTATATTAGGACTCCACGTACCAAGTGTTTCATAATGGGAAGCTCAGTGATGCTTTTGAAGTGAAGACAGGAGTGAAACAAGGTTGCCTACTATCCCCCATGATATTCCTGATTATGGCCGACTGGACTGGATCATACAACGAACAGTGAGGAATGAGAAGAAAGGGATACGCTGGACTGCGGAAAAGATCCTAAAAGATTTGGATTTTGCCGATGACTTGTGCCTAATGTCGCACAAACAGGCGAAAACTAACAAGTTGACAGAGTAGGAGGGAAGACGGAACTTCAAGTGAACGTGGAGAAGACAGAGGTGATGAAGATACCCAACCAACAACAGCAACAAGCTCCAATCACCATCAACGGAGAAACTCAAAGGAAGTAGCCTCTTCCACCTATCTAGGAAGCACTGTTTCAACTACAGGTGGCACAGACGAGGACGTCAAAGTTAGGATCAGAAAGACAGCAAGACAGGCGTTCATTAACCTGAAGCCAGTGTGGAGATCTTCTGCACTCAGCATGAAGAACAGGATCCGGATTTTCAACACTAAGTCAGTGTAGTCAGTTCTTCTATATCGTTCAGAAACTTGGCGCATTACGAAAGGATTTCCAACAAACTACAGACATTCATCAACAACTGCCCACGCCGGCTTGTTACTGAAGCTCAGATAGCCAGAAAGAATAAGCAACAAGGAAGTCTGGGAACGAATCAACCAAGAACCCATCGTCCAACAAATATGCAGAAGGAAGTGGAGATGGATTGGGCATGCACTGAGAAGACCATTCGAGGACATCACGCGCCAGGCGTTCTAGTGGGACCCGGATGGGGAACAAGGAGTTGGGCGTCCGAGGGGTGACATGGAGGAGATCGTGCGAGGAGGAAATGAGAGCTTCTGGGCTGTTGTGGAGCCAGGTTCAAAAGATTTCAGAGAACAGAGTTCACTGGAGACGTGCTACTGAAGCCCTATGTTCCGCTAGGAATCCAAGCGACAAAGATATATATATATATATATATATATATATATATATATATATATATATATATATATATATTTAACAGCATTGGGATGCTTCCTGTGGATGATCAACATTGTGGTTAGTGCTGCCTTTTCCTGACGACAGAAGCTATGAGAAAAGATCAGATTTACGAATAGCGCACTCCTTGATCTTCTGTGTGGGTTTTTAAAATTTGATGCGACACAGTATTAACTAAATCTGTGACTCCTTAGATGGTCATTTACCATCGACTGAAAGCGAGCTTCTTTTATTCCCTTTGGTTTCACAAATCTCACAAATGTTTTCTTCTAAACATTTATCACTTTTCATTTTTGTATGTGCATGTGTCCTAACAAACTCAATCGGTGAAATTGCTCTACGGTGTTTACTGATTTTCTTCTACTGCTTTAATTTCGATCGTATTATTGCTCACCCTCTTGTTGTGTCATGTCAACAAAGTCTATAGGGATACCAGCCAGATAGAAGCTGCAGCTTCGGCGTATACATCACCCTGAGGAATATGTTTCACAGCTGTAGAGGTGAACAGGTTGAATTGTTTTGCAGTATCTCTTCTCCTTGGTTGTCTTTCCGGTTTAAGATCTCGTAAGCTGGTAAATGTGACTTATACCTTCTCAATCAAGCATGATTATTCGTCAGTCACCAGTTAACTAAGTCTTATACAACTTTCCTATGGAGTGAGGTAGCCATTTTATTCTGCTGGTCTAATTTGTATCCATTATGTAGAATTGTTTGATTGATTGACTGGTGCCTTCATTGCGTTCAGCATAAAATAAATATTTGTTCTGTCGGATTGCACAATTGTACAGTTTTATCATATTTTATAATAGGCCCCACTCTCATGCTCTCATCATCAGTAGGTTTAGTTAATCATCATCCTAATGTAATTATTGTCGATAAATCATACTTCGAGAAATGCCAATATTTCCTCAAAAATACCGGAAAACTAACTACTTTTAGGCTCATCACTTGAAAAACATACTTCTTCAGTATCCCTAATCAAAGTAGCTTCTCGAGTTCCTAATCCTCCAGATCACCTACTCTGAACTGATAAATGCACCTATATTTCTTCCCTATTTATCATCAGTTTGAAACGACTATGAACACGCCATGTTCCCTCTTACTTTGTTGTATTCTTAGTTTCTGGTGGTTGGGTCAACGATCAATCTGGTTTCTTGGGTGTGTTTCTGCATCTTCAATATCCACTAGTGTCGCATAGATAAACACAAATCAATGCCAAGCCTGCATACTGGGTAGCTACTTTCTTTTTTTTCTCTCTCTCTCTAATACTTCCTCAATCGACGGTTTATCATCTAGCAGCAGTTTTCGAATTTATGTTTTATGAGACGCATTTTATTTTTCTGCAAATCATCCGTTTTTCTATTTGTGTTCTTACTTTACAGGCGGAAAAGCTTTTGAATCGTCTTCCAACAACTCAGAAAGTTTGGTTGCAAATTTTAAAAATAGCAACCCTAGCACAATGAAACCAGCCTCAAGTATCGTCACATTTTGCTTAGATTTTGATGACTCTGTTAAGGTGAAGACGGATACGCCTTCTACCACTATTTTCCCTTCTACAACAGCAGCTGAAATTTATGCAGCTGCCGCACGTTATGCAGCCGTTAGTGCTAACGCTTGTGGATTGGTGAGTATTACCAGTGTTGCTTGTTTTAATAAACATCCTACCGAAATCTGGCAATCTTTATTCACTCACTACCGTATTTTGAGTAATCTTCATTACCTTTTGCGATTCCAACCAACAATGCCACGCCGATGCTGCCTTTCCAGTGGCAAAGCGCTTTAGAAAACGTTGGCCGCAGAAAACCCACACACCTCCCATCCGTATATCTATGGCCAAAGATCACATTGCTATAAGCCACCCACCTTTGAAGAGAAACAATGTAAGATTTGCCGCTCTTTCTGGAGCACCAGTGTGGATTCTGATGACGCGCTAGTATGGGATCGTGATGTCTCTGCCTTACTGATCGCACAAAACAGGCGATAGTAAATCCTATCTATGCTCGATTGGAAGGTAAGAACGTCAAGTACGCATTTGGGAAAGAGATGGCTAAGCTCTTATCTGAACATGACAGCAATGCTCACCCTGAGGAAATCTGCCGTCATGTTAAGTTTGCTGTAGAAACAGTGGTAAAAACAGTTGGTAACATACACCCGAAGGTTAACAAACTTCATTGGACTTCCACTACGTGATCTGAACTGATTGATGCGATAAGACTGTTTCCAACTGGCTCTAACCACAATGAAGAGCGAAAACAACTTGAACTTAAGTTGACTGAACGTCTTCGCGTCGATCGCAAACATTGGAGGGTAGTGACAGCGAGAGATGGAGAAGGCATCAGCGTTATTATTATTATTCTATGAGAAGTGGGAGGAGTCTTCTTCTGACAACGATAGGTGAGTTATTTTGACTAGTATTGTATGAAAAACACTAGGGTCCGTAGCTATGCGAGGCTTAACTGGAGCCCGAGAAAATCAGGCAGGTTCCAAACATGGATGAGGATGTGTCGATCATATTTTCACCCTGCAACAGGTTCTGGAACATAGGCATACATACCGGCAGCCGACTCTTGCAATATTTCCTGACCTGAAGGCGGCATTCAACTCTGTCGACCATGAGGTGTTACGGCAGTGTCTGACTGTGAAGGGAGCACCGACCAAGTATATAACGCTAATCAAGGCCTTCTACTCGAACTCGTGCATCTATGTCAGAGTGTATGGAGAGTTGTCATATGAATTGACGACAACTAGTGGTGTCCACTAGGAATGTTCATTGTCACTGTTCCTGTTCAGCTTCATCGGTGACGTACTAATGGACATAACCTTAGGTGCCTGTGACTTCACAGAGATTGGTCTACTCCCTGGAGGTCATCCGTTTCAATCGGAGTATGCAGACAATACTGTCCTGATATGTGAAGAAGCTGTCAAAAAACAGGGTCCTGTGAACGCGTTCAGCAGAAATCTGAATATGTTTGCCATGCGTTTCGCACCTGTCAAATGTAGGATGATGCTCCAGGACTAGCCTGCTGTAAGCACTCCCAGTTTAGTGATAGCAAGTGAAGTGGTGGAATGTGCCGACCACTTCACTCACTTGGGGAGTCGCATCAGCCCGAACAGGCTGGCTGTTGACGAAGTCTCAGCTCAGATGCAGAAGGTACAGTCAGTATTTCGCCAACTGGCGTCATCTGAATCTGAGGTGCTGACTGGTGAGATATCCGACCACTTTTCAAGGGACGAGTAAGCTGCTCTACAGTTCGTTCTGTCCTCTAAGGGTTAGGGTTAGGGATATTCTTAAATTACTTAAATTATGAAATAAATAATGGGCAAATCAGCGTCGAGTACTTTCTTTTTTAACGTCAAACTTTTCAGCAGCTGCACAGTTTTATTAATTCTCGTTAAAAAACATATCATCTCTTTCCTAAATCATAAGATGACGGTTCTTATATACCTCAGACGTCAAATTCGTTTTTGGAGGTAAGATAAATTTGCATGATAATATTTATTATGGTAAAAATAATATATCTAGGTGAAATTGCTTTTGGATATGAAATGAAATGATTGAACGTCCTCTTGATAGGCAAATAGATAAGCGTCAAAATCAAGGTGACAACACTCCCCCGGAAAATTATAATAATTTCCAGAGTCAGGGAGTAGATGATACCTCTTGGAGAATGTGTCGTGTAATATAATTTTACTGCTGGTTCAGATCAGAAATTATCTTCACAAAAGTTCCATGTAGACGATAAGGTCAAAAATAATCAAGCCAACTGTTCTGTTTTGAGCGTAAGTACAAGCTGTGCAGCACAGAGCACAATATCACCAAAATCTTCAATATAATTGATCCTGGCCATGTGACATTGCATGAAAAGATGTCAACTTGATACTTATTTCGAACTGGTTTCCAGTGATATTTGATTTTGACGTCATCTTTTACAAAGGTATTTTTGGGAGAAAATTCTTGGTATTTGATGTTCACAAGTGACCTTTATGAACAATCTGATGGCTGCCAATATACTTTCATTCTTCGACTAGAGACTATTTTACTCCTTTATTAAACGTGGAAGATGTTTACTAACACCTTATGTTTATATTAGATTTCCTGCTTCGCATATTCCTAACCACAATTTTTTTGTGTTTAACGTCTTTCGGTTTGTCTCGTAAGTATTGCTTAACATTTTTCATTGTGTATATAAATGAATTCAACCAATCGAAGTAGTTGAACTAATTGATATCTAATGAAATATTTTGTCGTCACTCTCACTAATAAGGTGATTTAAAGGTTAACTTACTGGCAACTCTGTTCACTTGGTTCTGCTTGTAATGATGAATGAATTTGATAAGGTGTCACCGTTTTTAGGTAGTTGACAAAGATGTGAGTCCTTAACACCTCATACTGAATCGTTGATGTTCACCTTTGTGCACTTGCTCATTCTCGCCTGTAATTATCTCATCATTTTCCTACTCTAATTTAGTCTTTGTTAGTAGCTTTACGCGTGCATCAAGAAGGGTCTGTGTAAATGTTCATTCAAAATCTAATGAATTACTTCTCTTTTCATTCTCTGTTCTTTGCAAGAAGGGCTTACTTAAGTTTTCCAAAATATTTAATAGAATTGTAGTTATTGGATATCATATTGGTGATTTCTAAACTACATGCGTTTTGCGAATCAGTATTTGCGTTTATGTAAATATTACTTGCGGTTGCATAATGCATTTCATCACTGTCACGTGAAATAATATTCGTACCAGGTCCATTGATGAAGCGTTTTCCTCACTCAAAATTACATTAGACTTGGATCTAACACTGTGGTCTGAATCAGTTGCTCTTGACGATTCACAAAATATCTCTTCATCAACTACTGAAGATGTTTCATCCAATAAGTGTGTGAATTCAGCATCTTCCTTCTCCGGTGTATATGCGGTCAATATTCTGTGCCTGAATTCGCATATTTCATAAAATATAGCCTCAAGATATCCTCGCCTTCTATCCTGAAGTAACTTATCATTGAATCTTCCTTGCACTGTTTTAATGTTCCATAAGACAGTCGCTGCTTAGCTCTACTTTTAGTACGTTTCCACCAATTTCGAAGCTGCAGTGCTGATTTATGATTATGGTTGGAAACTTGTTTTGGAGTTTATGAGATATATGTTGCCACAAGACACATTTTCTGTGTTTCGTTACAGAATTATTATTTGGAGACTCTATTATATTGGGGTACTTCTGAACTTCTCTTAAGAGGAACTTCAGTTCCTTTTCAGTGTACCTCTCTGACCTATTTTCAACTGTGAGAAGATTCTTACCTTGCCAAAGTAGCATTTACCGCGGTATTGCGTTTCACTTTTGAAAAGATTTCTGCATGTCTTTCAAGGAATTCGAAACGGATTAACAAACATTTACTCAGTGTCCCATGCACATTTTTATCAGACCCACAGGAAAAGAAAGTATGAAAGACAGGTTTCAGTACTTCATGAAATGATTTTTTGCAATGATGTAGTCAACAGAAGATGCCATAACTGTTTCTCAAGAGACAATGCCACCATTTTATATGGCTACACGACTATGTGATAATGTGATTCAGCACCTTTTTTACAGAATTTTTATGAACTGATTGGTTTATTTTCGCTCACTTCAAGGTCTTTTTGGACAGCTCCAAGTCTTTGAATGTTATAGATGCCGTAGATCTACCCGCTCGCCTGCTTCAGTTCTGGTACATCCTCAGAGGATCTTTACCGCATGGCTCGCCCGTGGATTGCTTTTAGAAGGCTAGCACCCTTTTAAGGTATAGCGGTGTGGTGGTGTTGTGAGCCTCTAAGTGAGGTCGATCGTAGTTCTTGTGGAGCTTTGGAAAGAGTTCCGGTGTGGGGTGCTTAGTTGTCTGACCATGAATTTCGGTATTGCATAGCTTTTGGAGGCGTCTCTTGGATAGCTAGAACTGGTATCCAGCCACACGGTTAGTTTTAGTCTTAAGTCTTTCTACGCGATCATGTGAGAAGGATACGGACCGTACAAACAGACATAATATGATACTTTCTGCTTGTTGGGAGTACGCAGAAACCTGGTTCAGCATTTATCTCGGTTAAATGTTTTTTCCGCTATTCTTCCTCCGCTCTGCGAGCAGTCTGAGGTAGCCTTGTAGTGCGCTCGAGGCTGTCTCGGATGCCACAGCTCTTCACCACTTAAAACCATCGAAGTAAAGGGGGAGAGGAAACCTGAGATTCAACGTTAGTTCGTTCACACACAGAGGGAAAAAAATCGAAAACAATGAAACACACCAGACGATGATTTTCTGGAAATCTAGCAAAATGCTTTGAATTTTGCACAGAACTGCCCACTTTGCGAATAGTCCACTATGATGGATAACATCTGTAGCTCACGAGGATAGTTCTGACGGTATTGTGTTCAAGCTAGGTGGTTTAACCGCGAGGATTCGTTGTCATTCTGAATAAAATCATCGGTGTAATCTTCTGAAGTTTGTGAGAATAATGTTATCTATGATGACACTAAAAGCTTCACATCCGAACCATTCAACCTGGAGCACACAACACAATCAAAATAGTCCTTGCTATCGGATATCATCTGATCACTTACGCCCAACCTTGTTGTTTTGCGTGAACGAATGAGGTATGAGACGGTGTCGAACGCCCAGGTAAAATCTAAGAAAATCACACCACCACAAACTGGCAGGTCCCAGCAAGCTGTCCGGTTATTACCTGCTGCCGGGAGTTTTGAATGTACGGGACCTACTCTCCCGGAATATTTTTGGGTATCATTTAGCGCTCCTTTTAGTCCAAGTAGTCTCTGACGATCAGGTTCCCCACAGCCCTCGGTAGCACTGTAATGATATCATAGATCGATGATACTTTGGATTCCTTCATTGCCCCTCAGCTTAAATGGTGGACAGGGTGGCACATTTTCACTCCGTGAGAGCAGGTCTTAATCGGAGGCGTGTTGGGAGAGTTTACACGGTGGACCACATGAGGGATTCTAACACTGTTTCAACACATATAGCGGGATGTCATCGCGTTATGGGAACCTCCATGCACAGACCTTTGGCCGTTTCCCGGTTGCCTGCTCTCCAAGCAACCCTTCTACATCGGGTAATGTTGAAGGTCGTTCAGGTACCCGGTTGCTTTTGTTGGATGACGGAACGGCTGGTCGTGCGTCCAAGGCGGCGCCAAACGTTTGGGCAATCTTCAGTCAGGAAGAATTCTCTGCCTCCAGACTTTTCGTGGTGCGAGCCCCCTGCTTGTGGGCTTTCTCTCCTCCTGAATCAACGCAGGTCCGTGGAGGTTCAGTTCAAGCCTTTGTCCAAGGCTTATCCTGAACGACTCCCTGTCCTCCACTACCTTGACGTTACATTGGTTCATTGGAGCCATATGCATGCCATGATCTGACCCATTAGGAGATCTTCCACCGATGTCATTTTCCCTTCTGGCTTTCAGCCCAGTGTCCCGTTTTAGCTATGAGATCCGCCCTCTAGGTATCGTTTTAACTACATGGACATTTTCAAAGGTGGTCCTCTCATCCCCGTCCCCACTAATTCCCAGTAGCACTCAGCGGATAAAGGACTGCACTTCTGGTGGCCATGATGTTGCCGACAGGCATCAGGTCACCCTTACTGTTGCAGCCTTTCTTAAGGGCAGTGGCTACCTTCGTAGAGTACTTTTTCTTCGTTTCTTGGCCCCAGCGTACATTGCACCGTTTCCCACTGCTCTTTTTCAGATGATCCTCCTTCTTCAGGGGTATTGTCATTACATACAGGAACGTTAATCAACAAGATGGAGCTCGACATCAAGAAAACGGTGGTCGGTTACTGGGGTGAGGCTACATGTAGGAAGTTTCTGATGCTAGATTTGTTCAGAGCACAGCTTCTTCCAACTCCGTGATGTAGATACGTGAAAAAGCGGGATGAAAGTCCCTGGGCCAAGCAAAGTTAGGGAATTTCAGATGATAAAAGTAGGTTGTCAGCCGTACCTTTGGCTGTCTGGTTGTGCGACCCCGGTAAATGTCAAGAGCTTCACAAAATTCCAAGATGTATGATCAGATGATAAAATGCAGCTTTATGTGTCAGTAAAATGAGACATCATAGGGGAAAAAGTATGCGCATGTTGACAAGACGAACATTTAAAAGCATCGTCCTTGCATTAACAAAAGCCAGTGTATGTATTTAAGCTATACATATACTGGCAGGATTAAAATAAGGCCTGGAGCCTGCGCCTCTATCGTTACACCTGGCATATTTTGCTCAAGAACGCTGAAGTAGTACGTCCTGTTGTACAGCCGAGTGCAGGTTGGTGTTACCCATGCAAATGCCCTGAGGTTGTCGAATCCTCACAAGGTTCAGTGAAGTCTTCCAATAATTGCATTGCTTGAATTCTATCACCAAGTTATTGACGGTATT